AATTGTCTTAGCTTTAATGCAACTAGGTTGGATTTCATACCCATGCGGTATAATTACTTGAATTGGGAAAAAGTCTGCGTTATATCTTATAAACTATTAATTTTCAATTTTCTCTTAAACTATAGCTTGTCAAGAAGATACTGAATATGATTAAAAAAAAAAAAAATTATAAATAAACTAAGTTTATTACAGTTTAAAGTGTTTTCATATATAGATCTAACCGATGAATTGATTTTGTTATTTAGCCTGCAACTTAACCGTGAGTTTGAGATTTACATTGGACAAGTAATAGTAGTCGAATTAATTCGATACTTTTTCGGCTATTCGCATCGAATGTAAAATATAAAATAATTAAAATTCTTTAACAGTAAAAAAATAATTAATTTACATAAATTATTATTGTATATATATTTTTTTTTACGACGTTGTAACGAATAAAATGCTAGAATTATTCTCAATCTCGAAACGCTATTAAATATTAGCATAATACTATTGCATGGTGCAAGTAAAACATTAATAGAGAACTGCAATTTTGTGAGTGCTATTTTCTAATAGCATTTATTTACAGTTACTAGTATTGCACTTAAAATAATTTTCATGGGAATCGTGTTTTTATGCAAAAATGCGTTACAAGTAATATATATTAACATGGATTAAGAACAACACAAAATGTACTCAAGTAGTGGCCAACGTTCGGCTGGTATATCTATAGCAACGTTATGCTAGCAATGACAACTATACACTGATTTTAAAGAGTATTTTTTTTTTTTATAAAAATGTACATATGACAAGTAAAAATATATATAAATTGCAATTACCATGATTTGTACTTGTGCGTTCAAACGATCCGTTGTATACCTTGAATCCATATTTGAATTGCTACAGATTAAGTGTAAGAAATTGATATTTTACACGAACGTATTGTTGGTGAGTTTTATATTGTAATATTATTTTTATCGTTTATAAAAATTCCATTTGCATTAGGCAACTAACGTATTGTATTTTTTATTTCAGATAAAATACAGCATGATAAGATCTCAATCGCCGATCGATTGGTACATTGTCATTACCACGATAACGTTGCTGGTTTGTGCATTGTCTAATTAGTATTAATTTATGTTAAAACATATAAAATGCACTAATTATTGTCTAAGGAAAAATTACCACTATATACAGAATGCTGAGCAAAAACACTTGTTATGAAATCAAAAAGAGAATGACTTTAATGTTAAAAACTGATTCATTATCAATGTTCAAAAACATGTTCAATAAACAATTAACATCAGTGTCAGTCCTAATAAAATACAGACAATAGGTTTGGCTTAGAATAAGTGTTGGGCGAAAAAATTGGCTACACCTTTACTTTAATAGACAGCATAAGACGACTTATTAATAAATCATCTTTTTGGCATTTTAATTGTTACTATTATCGATCAATTGATTTGTCTGTCTATTTATTTTCAGCTGGAAGAACTGGTGATTTACATGAACAATAAAAACGAATGCGTCGCAGGCGAACGATGGCCAGTTATAATTTCGTATATGCCTAGAACCAAACAAAGATTCGACGCTTTTAGTTCGTATAAAAATAATTAAAATAAGAAGTTAGTTTTTTTTTTATTAAAATTACAAGTTTGTTTTGTTTATCCAGTCGGACGGTACTGTTTAGAAAATTGGTCGTTTTTATTGCAACTCACGTCGGTTGCTTGCGACCTCTTAGTGCTGGTGGCAGTTTATTATGTAAGTAGATGTACTAAATCTATTCTGCCAAATTTTCGACTGAATAATTCACAACAATTGCAGCCGGTTTCGCCAACTATTGTTAAATACACTCTTAAACACAATGTCAGTTAACAATTCATTTAAATTTACCATATAGTTAAATGAAATACGTTTCACCGTAACATTATTATTGTTAAATTATATTTGTTAAGTTAACAAAACGTCAGTTGGGTTACCTAAGCGGTTACCTCGATTCCAACGTTCTCATTGGTTATTAAGATATGTGATAACTGATAAGTGATTGTATATTTTAATTTGTCAGTTTGTTATTATTTGGCATTTAATTTTACTTTCTTTTAACGTTTCGGTTTATATAAATAATTTATATATTATAATTGTTTAGACAGTCTATACCTTTCTAAAAATAGTTTGCCATCAAAGTCATTAAAATAATTTTTTTCTATTTTGAAGGCCTAAAAAAACAAGTAGGCAGTGATAAGAATTATTTCCATTGTTATACTTAGGACAGGCAAGACATAATAATATTATCTAAATTAGGTACAAAATACAATAAATTATGATATTTGAGCTTATAATGCAAGTCTGTGCCATTCCTTTTTACCTAATCTACATAAAATAACTTCTGCTACCTAATGAAGAATTATCGAAGATGTCTTTTCTATTGTTTCCCTATAAACTCAATATAAAGAAGTTCCTCATCAAATATGTAAATCATTAACATACATTATTACTAGTATACTCAGTCAACAAAAATTATAAGACAATTTCTGAACTATAATAATATAAATATTATATATAAGTACTACTATACATTGTAACATGGCGATTAACTTTTTAACAAGCCGATTTCGGGTGATTAATTTAACAATGTGTTAAGGCTAACAAATCTCGATGAAACCAAATTTTCACTAACTAGTTGTTAAATATAATTAATAAATGTTGGTGAACTCGGCTGTTGATGGATAGTGGATTTAGGAACGATGATAAAAGGAAATTGCTAATTAATCAGAGATTATTGATAAGAGAATCAGCTGATAAAACTGAATGACCACTCTAACTAAATTACCGCGTCATAAATAAACGTAACTTGTATACAGATCAAGTATGTAAAACCAATATAATTATAAACTAAACGGTTCTTAAAAAATAATTTAAACTTAATTGTTAAACTAATTTTTTTAAAAAAAATTTTTTTTAATTTATTACCTATTTGAACGTGGGAGTTGAGTCTTAAATATTTTAGACACAAATTGGGACAAAGAGGCGTTTTCTTTGTAGGTATACCTCCATTGATATATTTGTATAACTGTATGGTCAGGACACTCTGTATATTACTTTATTGGTTATTGTTTCATTAACTGTGTATTTATTTAGAACGTGCCACAACTGACGCAACCTTGGCAACTGGTCGTAGGCATTCGTCTGTGCCTCGAGATCCTTTTCATCAACATTGACTATTTCAACTGTGGAATAAAACCTACTATTCAACAAGTATTGTGTACGGGTTAGTTAAATCATCTGAACATCTGAACCATCATGACATAACAGGCATATGTTTTTTTTAAACATAGATTTTTTATTAAAGTACAATAAAATTAAATAATTTTTTTTCTCAGAAATTTCGTTTTTAAATCAAAAAACCTATAATATGTACTATGAACCATCAACTAAGTATCATTTGTAAATTTATTAATATAAATATGAATTTGTTTAAAAATATATTCATTAAAACGAGAAATAATTGATCTATTCAACTAATGAATTACATGTTCAAAATAATAAACAGACAAATTTTTAGGTTTTAACAAGATTTGTAAAAATGTTTTTTTTAATTATTCGATATTGTACTACAAATAACAATTTTCAAATAAAATTGGCTACAACCTAAAAAATCTACAATAGATTAAACGAAACCAATGTATAATTTCATTAATCTATTGAACAGATTAAGATTGTTTCATTTTTTTTTATTCGTTAAATATTTCTTTAAACATAATTAATGATTTTGTTAAATCATCGCAGATTTTTGTTTGATTTACTGGAAAATTTGGTTCAATGTATAAATCAACAGCAGTCTACGCCTCTAAAACAATACCATTTAATTGACAAACGATTGCTTTTGTGTTTGAATTTAATTACATAAGAACGTTTACATGATATTATTTTTAGAAAACGACAAATTTAAATATTTTCTTTTATACTATTTTCCCACATTTGACTAGGCCCACTACGTCATACAATTTTTTAGGGTGTAACAATAATTGACAGATAGCTCTGTGTTTACATTGTAGTTTTACACTAATAGTGTGATTTTATTAATTTCAGCGCACATGGCGTACAACTGGAATTACATTGGCCAGTGGCAACGTTAAATAAAGGAAAATTTAATATTTAAAAATTCACCAAACCGAAACCCAAAAGAACGAATACAACGTTGAAATTTCCATTAAAATCCGTTTGACTTGCACTTGATGATAGTTTAATGATTCATCTGTCCTACCAATATAAAAATTGTAAGCAAATAATGTGTGCAAGTTTCTCAGTGTAATTGAATTTTGTTTGGACATGTTGGCATTTGACAATTACTCTGCAATGTGTACATATTATTATTATAAGTGTGACGTCATGCCTTTGGTATTGTTCGGATCTTGTTCGTCCTCGATGCTGATGACTAATATTATTACAATGACGGAAAGGGGTCTTCTTAGAAGATAAGATTCAAATGAATGAGTCTACACTACACGCCGTACACATTGTATTATTATGAAATTGTATAATAGTTTTAATATGTTCACTTGGCGCGCGTTTGTCACCAAATCTGGAGTTCGGTTGGTCTAATTGCATAATATTATGCGTGTCTTCACCGTCGATCAGCTGCTATTATGTTTTATAAGTCTAGCTGTGGAAACTCTCATGAAATGTTTAAGAAAAAACTACATTCCCTAACCCACAATGTGTAGTGTCTGTGGTAACTTCACAGTTAAGCTCTAAGACAAGCCATTCCTGATAGTGTATAAATATGCACACCAGACTTGACAGCTGGTTATTTGTCTTAGACCATAAATATACACCTAGTGGAATTATTAAAACATAGAACGCTTGAAAATGGTAAAATGTATTTTCAGTTGTTTGTACAACACAAATATATATATATATATATATTTCATTACATAATTATTCGACTTAACGTTAAGTACAGATATATTATAGGTAATGTACCTAATGAATAATAACAATTTACATAAGAGTATAATCGAATAATCTGATTTTATATTGAATTATTAATATTATAATAATATACTGTTATACATTTTTATTTTGCTCGTTTAAATATAATAATTAATATAGTTAAAAATATTATGGCGACCATTCAGAAGTAGCCTAAGGGGTAGCTTAGGTAAAAATATTAATAAGCATTATGAATACAGGTATAGATATATATATATATATATACAAAGTCATTAAATGTATAAATTTAAAGTAAAAAAACAAGTATAAAAACAAATAATGAACTAAAAATAGAATAATAAAATAATAAATTATATTTCTGCAATACAACATTAAGGCGGCACCACGGTCCAATGGAGTAGTACAATAATAATACAATAACAAAAATCATGCTAAAATTAAGAATAAATTTAATTTGTACAAGTTGTATAGGTTGTAATATTGTCAAAAGTTATCCAACTGGGCGTATAACCGAATTTTTGGGGATTTTTATTCTTAAGATATGCTCAAGATATGCTCATTGCATATTATATAGCAATAAGTTATAAGTAGTACACTAAAATTGCACGATTTTTTTTAAATTAAAACTAATAAAACAAAGTCTCAAGTAGTATCGATAAACATTCGACGGGGTACCGAATGCCAATATTATAAATTATAAAGTAGGTAATGTTATGTAGTAATTCGAGGGGTTGGATAGGCAATCACATTGCACGGATAACTAGACCCTTAGCAGATGTATCAATATGACATATTAAATTGTATCGCCACGGCAAAGGGTATTTTTTCAAGGTACAACTAATTACTAATTATTATAATAGTAATGATAATAATACCTAATAATAAGAGTAATAATTGTCAACAGAGGTATATGTCCAATGGCCCGGCAGAAGAAGGGTCTTGTGCTCTATTTTTACACATAAAACGATAATATTAGATAAATAATTTAATAAATAAAACACACTTTTAGTGTAATATGGTACATAAACCTAATGGTAACAAGTATGATGACGTTTACCGCGTTTTAATAATAATAATAATAATAATATTATAATGCATTTAAGTGATATTAAAATTAAGTATAAGTAATATTATGATATTATTATCTTCAAGACGCACAACCTTATGATAATAATTAATATACCACTTAAGTAAAAGGTTTTGTAATTTAATGATATTTAATAATGTAAATTTTATTAAACCTATTTATATGTATATATATATATTATATAAGTAGTAGTAGTATAACACTCGAAGAAACTAAACACAAATTTTCAATACTTGGCATTGTTTGGTACACATTTGACAGGGCAATATGATATATACTATTTTAATATACAAATTTCAGGATAATAATTATATATATATATATATTATATATTTGTGCCCTAACGATCCGTTTCGCTGTAACATAGGAGAGATGAGTGTCTCGAAATACTGAAGTCAATATATACAATAAGATAAGAATACAATATTGTAGACTGTAGTACATTGACATGATGTTCTCAATTACTGTTGCCGTTGGTTTCCGGAATTTTGGGCAGCGTTATGTGCGGTAAAGACGTTTTGCACACTTCGCTGGTGCTGATGGTGCCTTTTTCTTCCAAGTCTTTCCAATATTGATAATTGGTCCGCATGTAGTACAACATCTCCGGCATGTCTATGAACGCTGTGAAACAGTATAAGCGTTATTGCGACAATCAGAGTCTGAAAAATTTGGCATTTTATTAAAATACTAACAGTCCCAAGTTTCAAACATATCGTTTATGATGTAATCCATAAATCCTATTTGCGACTTCGGTATGGAACAAGTGGCTCTGTCAAACATTGGCATCACGACGGGCAGATGGTTGATTTTTTCTTCGTCAGTCTATGCAAAAAAATTTAGTTGTAGAAGCAGCAAGATAAATTCAGGATAAAGAAAACTAGGTGGAAAGATAATCTCGATAACTTTCAAACGGCTGTAGTTTGTGAAGTATTGGACCTACAGTGCTCTGGTAGGGCTTGAATGAAAGAGGGAGTTATCAAGTTTAGAATGACAGCCACTAGATGTCTCTCCACTTTCCCGTTTGTCAGAGACAAATAGTAGCAATCATTCGAAACTTGACAACTCCCTCTTTCATTCAAGCCCTACCAGAGCGCTGTAGGTCCAATACTTCACAACCTACTGCCGTTTGAAACCCCACCATTCATTTTCAGACACCCTGTATAATATTATCAACTATCTATTGAAATTGGAAAGAGCTTATTTTGAAAACTCAAAGCAAGACCTGATTGAAATATTCTTCGGCAATGCGTTTAGCCCATTCCACGCACTGTTTTAACGGTCTGGTCGGATTCGAAACGTCTGCACATTTAATCAACATCCTTTTAACTAGATTCACTTCTTCTGCGCTGGTCGGAGTCACCATTTCCGGACCGACTTCACTTGGAGACTAGAGAATACAACGCAATACAACGCCAGTGTTAGTTTTAATAATTTGTAGTCTTTAATTTGGCGGTAAAACTTACTAAACCGTCGGCTGTCGCATCGTCCTGTTGCGAAGGTTTGTTACAGACACTGACAAACTTGGCCAAGTGCTCAAAGTGTTTAGTCATTTCAGTGGCTAATATCATATCGATAATATTCTGTCTGACCACTTTGTAAGTATCCTTTTCTAGACCTTCAAAAAAAAAAAAAAAAAATGCACATATTTTAATAAGAAATTCTAAAATCTAATTGAGAATACTACCTTTGAAAATGTTCACCCGATCGTCTTTGATGGTGAGTTTGAACGTGAGGGCGGCATGATGCGATTCCAAGACGCTTATGTCGTTGTACAAGAGGGCCAAATCGTTTTGGGAATTGCACAAAAAAGCGCTACAAAAAAAAAAAATGTGCTTTATGAGGTAAATTATGATGTAAAAAATGTTACATTGTTGCTGTTCAATGAGTTAATTGGCTGGATTTTATTTTACAGAGATCCTTTCACAATTTATTGGTATTCCGGTTATCCGTCCAACTGTAACAACAACTATTTCAAATTGACTCTTTATAATATTTTTCACATCACGAAGACCTCCTCCCGGTGTTAACTATAGTAGTATGTCCACTATATAATACAACTCGTGTGTTGCATAATACGAACACACGTTGATGGAAAAGGTAAGAATCTAACATTCCAGTCGGTTCGAGATATTTTACCAACACACATATTTAGCTTATATAATATGTGCACAGAGGTCAGCTATCTAGTTAGTTGGTCTAATACTTAGCGAGTTACTTAACAATAATAATTGTGCACAGTAGAATAGTTATTTTTAAACGAGCTTATATAAAAGAATGTGTACAATTTTGAATCGAATTTATGTTGCCTTTTGGCCTCGTTTAAATCGTATAGCTGTGTATAATATATTATTCTAGAATAGTGGACCAGTAGAGAAAATAGGTCGAATTGATATATATAGCTTAGCATGTTATAAAGAGAAGACCAACCAGGCAAATCTAAACCTCGGTTATGTGAAGCGAGCTTTGCGCAATTGTAAGCGATTGGTCAGAACCTTTAAGACTGTACCAGCTTTATTGATTTTGGTTAAGTATGACGGGACAAAAAAGGGTACGATAGTTCGGCACACGTTGGTCTCACCTCGATTTACCAGGATGATCTATATCGTGAGTGATGGCGGCGATCAGACAGCAAGCCTGGTCCAATTGATCCAATAGTCGTTTAATGCGATCCTTCTCCAAGAACATAGCAGTCGCTTGAAGCACGTCCGCGGCGTGTGTAGAATTGTGGTAAGTGTTCTTGGAATGATAGTGTCCCTCGACCACAGTTAACCACCCTTGCAGAACGCGTTCGTCACAGCCCAACGTCTTGTGCACTTCAAAGTGTGTGAGTAAATTCATTCCCAAATGCACCAACGGCCTAGAATGCATTTAAATGAGTTTAAATGTCCTGCGGTGACAATAAAGATACAACACCGTCGCTGTGGCACGTACCTTTTCATGGTAAGTTCTTCGAGTTTGAAAATGTTGAAATCCCAATACAGAGACATGTCTAAAAGCTCTTTGATTTGAGGCGTTACGCTAGACATGAAGTTTGTCTTGGCCAGGCTCAACCCGTACGGTTGGTGCTTGACCGTGGCCGAATCGTTGGAGCTCCTTCTAGTGGACGTCACGTGCATAGGACCTTGCTGCAAATTGTGGAACATTAGTGCGAGAGAACACCGAATGAGAGGAAAATAGACGATTGGAGGAGTGTGTAAACGGAAAACCGATTTGAAGTTAGCAAAGGTGACGTACAGGGTAAGTAAGTCTAAGTATAGTATACCGTGATTAGAGCGCCGATCAAGTCCGAAGTAACAGGATCATCGTACTTAATGTTTTCTGTTTTCAGGTGAGACGAGTAAAGTTCGGTGACTCGCAAAATGTCTACGACCTAAGACACACCGGTTTTGTAAATATAATGAAATTTTAAATGGATTCACAGTAACCCAAATGAGCTGTTAATGGTATATCCTATACTAGATGATCCATGTAAGCATGATAACGTATGTATTTCAGCAAATACAGTCTAGTTCTCTACTCACTTTGTCGAGGATCTGTACCACTTGATCGCTGGAATTCTCTTGGGCCGCACAAATCAACGATATCACTTTGGTGATGGGTGCTTCTAGAGGCAAGTTGTGAAGTTTGGCCAAACTTTGTCTTCTAGCTGACTGAGCGCCTACCGTTAAAACGTACAAACATAATATTTTAAAACAACACGAGTAAAACTAAAAAAAAAAAATGATTAAAAAAGTTATCAAGTCTGATGTGGGCCTAAACAAATCACACTGACATCGATTAACCATTGAAATTAATCAGAACAACTTTTGGGATTTTTAAGATCGCATTTGCTGAGTTTTTTTGGCTGCGCTCTTTGTTAGAGGTAGACATTTTTGAAAATGTTTTATTTCATGTGTTTTAGGTACACATGGATTAGGTGTATCTTAAATCTAGTTTTTCAAGCTTAACCGCCTAAAACGGGAACCCTAAAAGAAGATGCACTAAAAATACTGACTTATTCAAGTAGGGAAGATTAGAGCTTTTTTTTTTTGACCTATAGATTAGATAAATTAATATTTTCACACAGTAACACCTCCCCCCCCCCCTTTAAGAAAAAGTATGAAGACCAATGACGTTTGAACTCCACGTCATAAGACAACATTTAAGATAACCGCACACAGATAGCTGCTTTTATCGAATAAAATGTAAATTAATATCCGTATTGACCTAAACTGGAATATCACGTTTTAATTATTTATTACATATTTTTGGTTATATTTCTTATAGACAGGTGTGTATTTTTTTTTACTATCAATAAAATAGCAAATGAAATATCTAATATTTCGTCTTACCATCGCTGTTGATAGATTTAAGATCGTATGATCCTTTGCGAATGGACGGTACACTTCCTCTGGGATATCCGTGACCGTCGCCTATGGTTTCTTGGACGTATACATAATTCGTAGTCTCTCTGAAAGTGTACAAGCCATTATTGTTAAACCAATTTTAAAAACGAAACATGCGAGTACACATTATTGGGTTGTTGTTTCCATTATGGTCCGTGGGAAACACATAATGTATTTGAAATAACATAAAAATATACGTTACAATAACAGCTCCGTCGTTTGTTTAGTTTGCTGCCTGTAAATGTGTTGGTTCATTCATATAAAACCAAATCAAACAATACAGCCGGCAAATGTAAGTACACGTTTTTACAAGTATAGTACAAATAAAACACACTTCTAGGACTTGAATCGAACGGTGAAACATTGTAACAGTTATACTATGATTGCTTATGATTGAAACCAATTGGGTATTTATTAGTTTTTACTGCAAATTAAGGCTAGTAGAACTTTATGTTTTTGAAGATAGCTTACTTCCCAAATGCTCTGAACGGGAATGCTCGGCACTGGAGGTAGACGTGTTCGCCGTTTTTGCACTTCCACGACACTTTGCCTTCCCACTCGATGTTCTTCTCCAGCTTCTTGGTTATCTGATCGATTTCACCGAGCTGATGGAACAGTGGCAACGGTTTGTTCAGCATGTCCTCAGCGCCGTAGCCCAGGATGGACGTACCCGACTTGTTCATGTACTGTCATAGAGGGTAAAAAATAATATCATATAAGTAAGTTACCTGAGTAATTAATATCGAAATTGCGGTGTATCGGTCCGGGCGGGTACACGATTAAAAGCGCTAAAGTAATTAATTTATTCATGTTTTAACGTTATCTTGCAGCTCAGTACATTAAGAAAATATCGGAAACTGTCTGTGTTTTCGCTCCAACTCGACAAAAACTTCTTGCAAACCAATTTGAATCCAACAAGGTGAATTGTTAATATATTATGTATATATTTCCCATCTACACTAGTCAATGCCCAGTCATTAAAATGTAAATTATTTATTATTTTCTCAATCGATAAATTACAGTAAAATTTGCATATTTTCTTTTGTTTAATGGCCACTTTCAGTACTGGTTTTTACACACAATGCCTGGTCTATGTGTATAGTAATAATTATCAACAAAGTGAGATATTAAAATATGCATATTTTATGTAAGCCATTATTGTTTTGTGTAATGCATAATGAATATTTTCCCTCGATTGAAATTGCTCATCAGCGTTCAAATTTAGTTTAAAACTAATATTTAGTTAAAAATACAAGCAAAGTTAGACTTAATATTGAATTTTTTTTATCAGTTAATTTAAATATTATATTTTTAATTATTTTTCACAAAGTGGCCAGAGTACTTGACGGATAAATGGTCAACTGTGGAATTGGACGCCACACGTTTCATACTCTTTTAATTACATTCGAATTAACATAATGCGCCATTCCGCCGAGTTGAATGTTCTCGGTGAAATTTTATTTAAATTTGTTTATTAACTGTATTAAAACTATAATTTATGTTTTAATTTCATGTGCATTCATAAAACTATACATAAACAATAGGAAACAATACGCTGACGTTTCCACTGGGCGTAAAAATCATTCGAGGCGTTCATAAAAACCTTAATAAAAGTTTATTAAATAAATTAAACTCGACAAACAGTGAAAAATATAGGTAGATGTATAGGTATACATATAATATAGGCATTATATTGATTAGCCCTTTTAATGTCTTTGTTACCTATATGCGGCTGCGTTAGAATATTTTTTATTTATTAGTTACTTATAGGAAAATAAAATATTATATCATACACTTTAGTGGGCAACAAAATATGTTAATTTTAAATAATAAACTACTCGGAAACAGTTGCAATCGTTTTGATGCATTCAACATCTATTGTTTTGTTATAGTAGTTTTGGTACGGTTAAACAAATTGAAAAAATAAGTAAAAATATATTTAGGTATACTTTTCAGGTACTTCATCTTATTAGTAATACTTTTTTTGGGGTCATTTTATGTTGCCAGCAGTGATTTGAATGTTTTGGGTGTACCTATGCGTTTTCTTATGATAAAAACCTGAATAATTGTAGTTAAGGGTTGTTTAAAATTATTTTTAAATATGTACACCGGAGGGTTTAATTGTGACGGAACAACTTCTGACTGTACATAAAAAAATGGAAAAACTCGGTTCAGCTGTTAAACGTTTACCAAGAACACTTTATTTATTTTATTTATTGAGCTGTAGTGTCGTAAAAACCGTAGCACTGCAACACAGGAAATCCCAAGTTCACTTTGGAACATAACATTATTTTATGTCCTTTTACTAGCTAATACCCTATACCTACCCGCCTACGGGGGTTTCTTATGAAAAACACTAATTGAAACTTACAAAAGCATTGCCCGACTGTGTGTGCACGTATATTATATTGTGTTGACAAAAGTTTGGCGCAACAATTGGAGAAAATTTTGTTTGTCTTTTAAGCCGAGTGGTCGTTTTGCATCGACATCGAGAGCAATACAAACAAAACCACCCGACCATTGCGGAATCGTCCGAGTAAACATCACGGTCGAATAACAGCTGTGGCAAACTGGTAAATTCTTTCAACGTGTCTTACACTCAAAAATAGTCTATACCGAACGGCGTACAAGAAATAAAATTGCCTGCCTAACCTTTACCACATCATACAAGGGTGTATCAAAAAGAATAGTGGGGTTTCAAACGGCTGTAGGTCCAATACTTCACAACCTACAGCCGTTTGAAACCCCACCGTTATTTTTGATACACCCTGTATAATACCTTGTACACAGCAACAAAGTAATCAAGAAGGCGAGCGACAGTGTGACCACTTCATATAAAAAATAAACACTTTATTTCATAAGTTGTTAAACACTGCACAGTATCACCCTTTTCAAGTATGTAGGATCAAACTTCTTTTTCTTCTCAGCTTACCGGTCCATTGCTGCCTTCAACAAGTCTTTCCATCTCTCTCTCTCTCCATTATAGGTTAGGTTAGGTTAAGTGAAACTATTAAGTGTAAATATTTTTCCTAGGGAAATGTAATTTCGTTGTTTTGGTCACACTGCATCTCGTCTTTTCGCTTGCTTCATAATATCTTATCTATTGCGACCAGTTTAAAGGGCGAGAACAGCTGATAAATTTACTTGTATGTTGTGCTTGAGGTCAGTAATAATGACTAGGTCTTTGGTTTTGTCCATAGCCGCTAAGACTGCGTCCTGCTGAGCCAACATGGATCGGACGGCCATGTCCTCCCTTTCCAGCTGTTGTAACTCCTTGATCCACAAATTTTTATTGTACGTTTCCACAATGATCTAGAACAGTGAAAAAATCAAAAAATAGTAAGCAAAAAATATTTTACATTTTTAATTAGTTATAACTTTGTTGTGTAACGCCATCTTAAAATATATAGAACATTTCCCTCATCCTCAGCATTTTAGTTCCCCCAAGAGATGATGTTAAACTTTTAAACAAAAAAATTAAAATCGATTTGGTAAGACACTTAAGAAAATTACTTGGAGTTGTAAGTTTTAATTTGTGGGTAATTTCCCTTTTTTTTTTTTTTGTTCCTCTAAAATCATTAATAAATCCTTTTTATTGAGATTATTAGAATTGACTGACAACGTTTATTTGTCATCTCAACAATTAGGTTTATGCACAAAATCCTTATTTACAAATGGATACCAAGATTTATAACTTGTCAAGTGTCAACTGACGTTGCAAACCATACTTCCACTCCATCATCACTCTTGGTAAAACTTAGTAATTATTTTTTTTTACTCCTAACATTATTGTTTTCATAAACAATTGATCATAGTGGAACATATAAAGCGTGTACAGTGGTATAGATGATAAATGAACACAAATATAGGTGTATGTACAATCAATTATAATACACTGACTGAAAAGTTAATAAGTCGACACTTACAGTATTTACAAAATTAATAAATATTTATACAATTTTTTATGCATTTAAAACTCTCTTTACTTCTTTTTTTTGCATCAATTATTTATTGGACTATGGCAAGCAAAACGATGCTTGTGATCTTTTAATAAAATTCCATTTAATCTTTTCAAGTTCTTAACAATTCATAATAATAACTTTATATATGGAAAATTTGATAATTAACATACCACGATAATTTGCGCTGCTAAATTTTTAATCTAAAAGTAATTAACTTTCGGCTATTTCGTTTTAATTTAATCAAGTTATAAAAGACCCAAAAGGGGATTGAAGTGTATTGGATATAAACCTATCACGGTTTAATCGTTTTACTTAAGCTCAAATTAAATTTACCCTAAGCCCGTCCTTCCATTTGTTCGCCATCCATTAATTATATTTGATGTCAATAAATATTTAATAGATATGTTAAACCATTTCATAATTTAATCAACATCCGTTTTTAGTACACATCTTGCCATGCATTTTTAATAACACTGTTCATTTTTATATTCTTCAAGTATGTTATATAATATTTCATCAGGTTATGGGCCCATATAATATAATATTTCATCATGTTACAATATTATGTCTTTGAGATATAATATAAGACCGAGCAGGACTTTTGGAATAAAATAATTATCTTATCCGCAAAAAAAAAAAATTATATTATATATTAATACTTAAACTAACTTAACTTGTATTGTAAAACTAGTATCATCTCAATTTCCAGATTTATAATATCCAAACTAAAAGTTAAAGTTTCAATTGTAAATTTCACAAGAGGTAGTTTTATTAAAAACTTAAGTCTTTTTTTTTTTTACTATACCACTAAACATTATTAATCCGGTAATATTGCAACGGTAATACCGATGAAGACAATATCCTTGTCGAGGGTTGTATGAACTAATATAAAAGTGGTCAACTAATTTTCAATAGATGACAGTGTTAAGTTTTAAAAAATGAATTTCAACAAATATGTTTTACATTATATGCTAAGCCAAAGTTGTTTCGTGGAAATGCAAAGAATTCGATAATAATTTATAATACTTTTGAAACTCATTAAAACTCTAATAGATTTTCTGGAAGAATACTCGTTATGAACAGTAAACGCATTCCAAAATTGACAAAATGTATCAGCTTTTGTCATCTTACCACACAAATTGAATATATACATATTAGCATTACTAGAAAACTATTTACCAACACTTTTCAATAGAATTTCACAGCCCTGTCAAATTTCTATAAACTAATAATGTTTTAAGTAAAACCAACTAACATAATATAATTTGAACAAATTACAGATACATGGCGAACCAGATGAAAGTGTTTTTTTAAGGCACCCCTGGCTGAACATTACTAGAAAATAATGGATCATCACCACCTTTTTAGTTACTTATTGATCTTGATCAACTGAATTAGTCAGATATTGTAGGTTAATAGTTTAAAAAAACCTCAATAATGTAATTTGTTTTAAAGAAAAGCAGTGGTTTTGACATACAGGGTGTATCCAAATTAAAAATCTAATCATAAGAGGTTATACAATAGTGCTGCAATGAACCATGGGAAATATTGAATGTTTTCTTCGAAAAATGTTGGATTTTTATGTATAATAAATATGAATGAAATAAACCTGTCAACGATATTTCTTGTACATGCTGAAACGTTTTCGATAAAGACAGTATGCCTACCTACCTACCTACCTATAGTGAATAATTGATAGAGTGTATATTGATCTTTTTTAGTTTCGCATAAAATATGTCAAAATAATATTCTTGCGTGATCAATCGTTTTAAGTGCGAACGTTTGCTGATGAAATAAAGATGAAAAGATGAAATAAAGTGGTTTTTATAACTTTTGACGACATGTCCTAAAAACGACAAATGTTTTTATATTATTATATTTTTATATTCGGTACAAAAGGGGTTTAACGGGTTCGGATACACCCTGTAGCGTATAAATCTTGGCTTTTATTATGCTTTCACGGTGTGAAACGTGCACGAACAAAGTTTATCCGGGGCCGACGGTGTGGTCTTTGTGGTGTAATAAGCGCCAATTTTACAAGCACCACACGACGTGCCACTATAGAGGAGCATTTATCTCCAGCAATAGGACCACAGCCGCCTGCAATGTTTTATACGGAAAATCTAATACCTGACACTTTTGAGTTTGTTATACGAGCACAAAACACACAGAGAAGTCGCCAAAGGTCCTCATATGTTACAGCGGTGCACCGGTATAACACACCCAACCTTACACAAAACAGTAGCTATGGGTACCAAGACATTATCTCGATCACATAGCCCTGCCTGGACCGTGTTAATCTGACGTTAATCAATTTACACCGGTGTAAACCCGCCTGGGTTGGCTTAAAGAGAATAGAATAGTATATATAAGAAAGAAATGCTCACTTTGTTAAATCCACTGGCCAATATTGATGTCACGTCTTTTTCATTTCTCTCGACCAGGCTGCAACACAAAATATTATTGCAGGTAAGTATTATATACATATATATATATATACTAATATAATACAGGGTGTATAAAAAATAATGGTGGGGTTTCAAACGGTTAGGTTAGGTTAGGTTTCCCTCTAGTGTTTGCGGTAACATGAAAAAAAAGGTTAGGTTTGGTTGGGTTTGGTTAGGTTTGGTTAGGTTTGGTTAGGCTAGGTTAGGTTTGGTTAGGTCAGGTTAGGTTAGGTGTGAAGTATTGGACCTACAGCGCTCTGGTAGGGCTTGAATGAAAGAGGGAGTTGTCAAATTTTGAATGACTGACACAGCCGTTTGAAACCCCACCATTCTTTTTGATACACCCTGTATAACATCAAAATTGTATTGTACAAAAGATAAAGTCTAGTTTACCTTTTCCTGACCAAAGCTACGAGTACGACGTGAGCGTTCCTTTTCATTGACCGCAACGACCTGTTGACAACAAAATAAGGTGTTACTGTGTTTTTTCTTAACAATTGATTATTTATAGATAATCATTAGTATCATTCTTGTCATAATTATTATAATTAATTGAACTTAGGACGGGACTTGTGCCCTCCTTAGGTAGGCATTGGATTCACTTCTATAAACTTAGGTTGGTCAGGTTAGGTTTGGTTCATGTCGACCGTCAAAACTGAATAATTATTAAATAATAGTAATATACAAACGAGTACTATATTGGAAACAATGTTTTAAAATTGCTCGGCTGTTTCTCTCGGTAGAGTTTTTAATTAAATTTGCTCTGTTTCAGTTCACATACCAAAAACATATTAAACCGTTTAGCTTTGTGTTGGATTTCTTGTAAAATGTTTTAGAGACAAAAAAAAACATTGTTTAATATCGAAAGCTATCTGGTAAGTAATTTAGAAATACCTTCTTATACGGTTTCAATAGTGGTTACAGTTAAAAAAACTTTACTAGTTTGAAAAAAGTAAAAACTGTTTTTTTTTACAAAAGAAATATTTAACAGTGGCCAAAGGTTAGGTTAGGTCAACTGAGATTATTTATTTAACCGTATAATTATTTTAATAATCTGCTGTATAATTAATTTTTGAACTGTGAATTACACATAATGTTTATTCAATCAGGAAACCTACAAAAAAGCGAGCAAATTATTCATTTTATTATTTTGATTGGCAAATTAATTTCGGTTCTCTTGTACACAATTCACAATATATATTTTGTTCTTTTTCTTAGTATATAAAGTGAATTACTGCCAGCAATTACAGTACAACAATTAGTTATTTATTTAGAGAGGAGTCGATAATACATGTTGAAACACTAGTAGCATCGCAGTAGCAACTCCAGAATAAAATATTTCCACTAACAGAATTGTGTGCGATATTTGTTTTTGTGACTTTCGGTGTTTTGTTTCTGAATATATTTTAAATCAAAAGTATTCTTTTTCTACATGAAACTTTTAACGAATGCAAAATATATGGATTGCTCCTGTAAACTTTTACAACAGATTTATCAGGCAAATCGTAAAAGTTATATTGGAATTGTGTAAAAGCCATTCTTGTTCGTCGATATAAAATTGTCTACTTTTTTTTTTTTTTTAAAGTAAAATATCTTACATGCAGCTACACTGAATCACATTGGCTGAATTGCAATTTTTTTTTATGATTTCTATTTTACTTTGACTTCAGCAAATAAGTACCGACCTCTTTCACACATTGGTACAATACCCTATTATGACCCCTCTATAACTCATGGGTTATTATTAATACTATACAACTGTGTGTCAACTGTGCCACAAAGTGGCTTAAATAATTAGATTTATGACTTGCGGTTGGATTGACAATGCTGGTGTGTTTGCTCAAGGTTTACTAATACAATTTTGGCATCTATTATTTTAGCGACCCCGTTGGTGGTAGAAGTAAATTTTTAAAATATTTATCTATAAGTTTAAAATGTGTAGGAAAATACAACAAAAAAATAGCTACAAGTGTTTAATTGAATTCAAAAGGACAAACAAACATTACGCTTGCGTTACAATTCCTAAACAAACATTTAGAACAAGTTAGAATAAATTTGAAACAAACTCTACATGGCCTGTGCTTGGTTATTAAATTTTAACGGTCTGAGTCCTCTGATGAACTTTTGGTTGCTTTAGGTTAAGGTCAGGTCAGGTTCAAGTATTGTAATGATCAACTACATTTTTAACGTTTCACTAATCTATACTTATTAACAACACTTAGTTCTGTTCACAAAATTATATTTAGAATAAAATTATTTCATGCACTTAAAACATACCAAAAAAAAAAACACCATTCTTATAGCATTGCACGTCCAACTCGAATATTAGATTAGCACTCTTAACTTGTTTAAAACTTTATACTTGTTATTTTTCTTACTAAAATGTTCGGGACACATAAAAGCATTAGTGTTAACTAAATAATAACTTTTCTTTGGATTTTTCAAAACTATTGACAAGGTTTTGAGTAAAAAAAAACTGAAAAAATTAACTACTACTTTCAAAACCTAGGCTACATTATATTCAAAAGGTGTCTCAAGTATGTTGCAAAGTTTTTAGTGCACATGTTTCACAGTCTAAATCTAAATAAATATTCCATTACTATTACCTCTAGTTTTTTTGCTATTAAACAATTATGTTTTTATGAGATAATCGAAATTTTACCCCAATAGTTTATTTTGAAATTAAAATGTTTAGTAATTATAAAAGTTGATAGCTAGTCTTCTTTTTCTTTGCAAACAGAATTTTGTGCTATGGACATCACATCTGTATCCAATGTAAACGTGAATGCATGTTGTAGTATTCTAATGATAATTACACCATTCAATTACTGGTACCGTGTGAATGTAGACAGCCGGGAGCATAGAAGATAAGAAGAAGAGCACAGAGATATCAAGTTGATATTGCACCCATCGAAATATTCAATTAGCCAAGTGAAACGTAAGTGGATTACAAAATCTAACAACCTAAGAATTTTTGAAGTATTTCAGTGTTTTCATATTATGATTTTCACTTTGTTTTTCTTAAAAAAAAAAAAGAAACTCAAGATGAACAAAATAATTTATTTATAAGCGTAGTACGGTTTACAAAGACTACATCCAAACTATTGTCTGCTTCGATTTTTTTTTAAGTAGCTTTGGAAAGTTTTAAAGATTAGCACTTATCGTTTTTGCATTATACCCGTCAAAATTATGCACGACATTGTGAATATAGTTTATGAGTAAAAGTTTGAATTTTAAAATTCATTTTTACTGGAAAGAAACCTCCTAAGCAGCCACTCTAACGCAGTTATTGGGGTTTTTTTTTAAAGAAGCAATATTCTGCTTTCTATTTATTTATTTCAAAGACATCTTTAATGATGGACGATGCTAATAAACATATGCAATAAATAACTATTAACATAAATATGAAATTGTCCAGGACAGACAGTTAAAGTTATTTGAAACAATGTATGTAAGTACAATTGTCAATGTACTTAGCGCACTCTAGTGGTGAAAAATTCAACTATGGAATTATTTATCTTGGCTTGTGAAAAGTATACACTTTTTTAATTCAACCATGCTATTATTCGCAATTTGAAAAAAAGTGCAGTTAATCGGTTTGGCATCTGACCGCCTCGTTTCTAATCTATAGAATAGCCTTGTTATAAAGAAATCGGTTCAGACACAAAAATACACCATTGTAATAATAACACCTTCTCAGATCCGTGTTTAGAGGTAAAACGCTCAATCCATAAAATGAATAGCGTTATCCGTTGAGTACAAAAGAAGTTTTAAATAAAAATGAATGACGTTTAATAAAAGGCTTGAATACAACTAATAACGATAAGAGAATTTTTTCCCAAATACATTTTCCCTCTTTGAAGAAACTAATGTCTTGAAGGGTATTTTTGTTCTCGTTCATTGTTGTGTAAAATAATTTGAAACCTACGTTTGATATGGTTTTTTATTTTTAAAGTAATATATACACATAGATATAGTCAATTTAATGTTTAATATAAGGTTTCGTTAAAACAAGTCTTCCAAATTCTTTTGTTCTTTAACACATCAAGTATTGTTTTTGAACCTTTCAAGTCTCCACCGTGTGGTTTAATTGCTCTCACCCTCGTATTAGTGATGTTTTATTTTAGAAAATTTAACTCTGTACTACTTAAAACCCTACATCATACAAATTATAAACCAAAGATTCATTGAGAGGCGACAACAAGAGTTATAATATTATAACCTGTGATCAACGTCCAAACAAGTCACTGTCTCATTCGTCAACTTAGTTTTTGGAATAACTAGAACTAGCATATGTATATTTCGATTGACCCTATTTATCTAAATTGTTTTATTAAAAAATCTTCTCAAAAATTGTAAGCAATTGAAATTGGATTTTTAACTAGACGTGTTGGAGATACAGTCTAAAGCCAAATTCTAGTTCAGCTAACAGAGATTCGCTGAACTCTCTGTTGTTCTCTTTTGTGTACATCTTCAATTGTAAATTAATAACATAAACAAATAAATAACACAGTTGAGTCCACATCAATACTGAAATCGTCACAGCTACGTTCGGTCCGGAAATTAATATATTTTTTTGTTCTCCAAACGGGGGGGGGGGGGGGGAATTTCAAAAGGCAATGAAAATTGAAATTTTCAAAAGCGTTTTGCCCCTAATTACTTTTGGATTGATTTGCTGTCGGCAAAGTGGTAGTAATCGGTCCATCGAATCCAGACAAATCGCCTGTGCTGACTGACGTTATTGTAAAACCAATGATGCTGAACGTGTCGAACTCTGAGGCGTCAAAGGTAGAGGTGTAAACGCAGCCAATGTAATATCCGAGTCCTCGTCGGTTCTGATGGGATTACCGACTCGGATGCGAGGGAGGTGCAACACACACACTTATACGTGAAGGTTTAGGAATAAATAAAGTCAGTGAAATACGTTACTGATGTAAATTTAAAACAGTACAAAAGTATCAAAGTGAACAAATGTAATTCGGTTGCACCAGTGTACATAGGTAAAAGTCGTTTTCAATTTAATCTATATAAAAAATACAGAGCACAACACACCCACTGTGTGACGTTGGTATATTTTATTTATTATCAAATAAGCAAAAGCCTGGAGGCATTTGGAAAATGCGACCTGTCGTTGGATACGTCAGTGTAACGTTATTATTTTCTCTGTGTAAAGTACACACACGTGCGTTGAGCCTTTTGGAAAATACAAATATTCCCCCAAATTCACTATACGAATACCCTATTATAAGTAATAAACATTATATAATGATCAGAATGATAAATTTCAAACCAAGTGCAAACTATACTTCAATGACACGATTTGTCGACCGAAAACTATTTTGGCTTTGAATGGTGACGTTACACTACCGAATTTCTGGCCTATACAAACACGCAAGTTGCTTAAATGATGTTAATTAAAATCGAGATTGTGAAATTCCATGTTAACCATCAGAGCAAAGATTTTCGAGGTAGAAAATATATAAACACCCTGTATACTAGGGTGGCGCGAAAAAATCTATCTTCGAAATGTTACTGGACTAACATTTAAATGTGTCCTACACATAAAAAAAGAGACTCGGTAAAAATTTGAGATTAAAAAAAAAATCGTTTACTGGTCGCTCAACGCGTTTTAAGTAAATTTGACCGAAAATTCTCAAAAGAAACAAAAAATGACTTAAATGATTTTAGGTCAATAATCATTATTAGCACATATAAATTGTAGTATTATTAGCGTTGAGTACAACTGTTTGCGTTTCAAAATCTCAAGTTAAAAATTGATTACCTAATTAACAAAACTTTGTAATTAATTGGTTAATTTTCAATTAAGCTTAAAGTAACTAAACAATTTTTTTAAAATACAAACATTCCATGTGCACCAAAATGAACATGGGAAAATGTATATTATATGTCAAATAATAAAATACTTATCGTTATGAATTTTAGCTAATAATTGCTATTACAATTTATTTAATTTATATAATATGTTTAGTAAGCTAGCCCGATAAGCGTTTCACTTAGATACCATAATTAATGTCCAGAATTATAGCCAAAGTTAAGAGTTTTTTTTAAAAATTTTTATCAACAAATTTTACTTTGGTACACATCTTTATATTGTAATAGTATTTAACAATTATATGATTTTCAAATGACTTAAAAAGCGTTTTTTTGAAAATCCGGATTTCGGATTCCATCACTACTTAATAGCTTTGGATATCGTCTTAATTGTATTTATAGATTTAGATGATTATTAGGTGCTTTATTAGCATATGAACTAGTAAACCAATATTTAATATAAACTTTTACAGTAGTAGAATTCCAGTACTTGGGCTGAATATAAAAGTTGTATGTTAACATATAATAAAGTGCAGTCATTATTTGAAGTGAATGATTCAGTCGAAAGAGGACTTGCTTTAATGACACAATTCAACAATTCTTTAACGGCAGATGAGAAGCAAATACAATTCTGGAAATTAATTATGGTAGGTATATAAGTGAATCGCTTATCGGGCTAGCTTACTTAACATATTATATAATAATTTAAATAAATTGTAATAGAATATAACAGCTAAAATTCATAACGATAAGTATATTATTATTTGACACCTAATATACATTTTCACATGTTCATTTTGGTTTAACATTAGTGAAAAAAAAATGTTTTTAGTTACTTTAAGCTAATTAAAAAATTGATCAATTAATTTCGAACTATTGTTAATTAGGTAATCAATTTTTAACTTAGGATTTTGAAACGCAAACAGTTGTACTCAACGCTAAAAATACTACAATTTAGATGTGCTAATGATGATTTTTGACCTAAAATTTTATCATTTAAGTCATTTTTTGAGAATTTTCGGTTGAATTACTTAAAACGCGTTGAACGACCGGTAGACATTTTTTTTTTATTCTCAAATTTTCACCGAGTTTCTTTTTTTCACGTATAGAACAAATTTAAATGTTAGCCCGTTAACATTTCGAAGATAGATTTTTTTTTGCGCCACCCTACTGTTGTTGTATAATTTAAACGGGAAACGTGCAACTTATTCACAAATATTGACCAGCCACAAACGTGCACGACGGCCAAAAACCCAGAAACGTGCAGGATTTCCGGTTTTGGCGACAACTTACGCGACTAGTTGTGCACCTTTGGAGTTTCAGTACAATAATATCCGACCGGGGGTGGTGGTGGTGGCTGGTGGAGTTCATACATATTGTATACTCGGGGCCGGCCATAAATTATTATGGCCGATATTACCACCACCGACTGCAGACTCGGCGAACGTGATGGAAATCGCGGGGTCGGTACTATAAAACGGGTTTAAACGTTTTCAGCATTTCATTAAAATCATTTCCAACGTAGGAAATGATCAACGGCAAATAACATGTACATATATATATATATTAAGCGGAAAACACCGTTGCCATGGGCACGTGGATCGTTCGGAATTCCAATGTCTATATCGTCGTCGTGCATTACGGTCGTTCCACAGCAATAAAAAAAAAAAAAAAAAATGAAAAAAGAAAAAGACGGCGATCCTAATTCAATCGTTTCATCAAAGACACCGCAGCACCGTCGTGGGTGTATATTTAGGAAAAGGGCAGCAATGATTATTAGTGAGCACACTAATTTACACACACTAAATGTATAATTGAATGTCGCCATACTTTTGCTGTGACCATTGACGCGTATTGATGTGTACTCGACTATGTTGTTTAATTTAAGATACTAGAATTTGGCCTCGGACTATATCTCCAACACGTCTAGTTAAAATTACAATTTCAATTGCTTACAACTTTTGAGACAATTACAAAAAAAAAAAAAAACAATTTACATAAATAGGGTTGATCTCAAGTTTAGTTCTAGTTATTCTCAAAACTAAGTTAGCCAATGAGTCGGTTACTTATTTGGAGTTACCACTTCTCTATCGTTTCTTATGCCTCATTAAACTCCATTGACACAATCAAAAGCTATAAAAGAACCAACCTTATGCTCTTTATTTAAATACACATTTTCAACAGTGTTTAACCAAGTTAAACTATACTACAATATAAGCCAGTACATCATTTTATAAATTTCCATTCCACACTATGTCGCCGAAACAATGTTTTTTTTTGGTTTATTCCAACTTGTTGTTAATAACAATTATACATTTTTATCAAGAAATTAGACTTTTAAAAATATACATTGATCAGGACTTGAATTAGTATTCAGCGTGCGACCTGTGTGTTCCTGACACGGGCCAAATGAAATTCATCACACAAGGTGTAGGCAAGCGAGAAAATAATAATTCTAATTTCAGTTTTGTATTTTTAGCATGTTTTTAAACAGCTGGTAACAAATCCACACATAAGACCCATATATATTTTTGATCTTATTTAAACATTGTTAAAACCCCCATTGAACTGTAAAAATGACTACAAGTTTTCACGTTATTATTATTAGGTACACGAATACCACAGCCCGGGTAAGTTCAGTTTCTACTTGGAATGAAAATCGACAAAGTTGAAAAACCAAAGCAAACTTTTAGCGAGTCAGAACGACTTTTACTTTTCAAGCTTATCTCATTTTGCCACACCACACATTATTGATTTGTCATAAGCATAATATGATACGGGTAAACTTTCAAAAGCAAAATATACTTTACACTTTTTTTCAAATTAAAACAAAGACAAATGTCTTGTCATGTTGGTTAATTATAATTTAGACAGCTGTGGGTGTCCACATCCCATATGATTTATGTAAAGCCAAGTATATACAGTAATAAGTATCGCGCACGGTTTAATTAACATTCAATTGTTATATTAAGCCAAGAGTATTAACGAAATTACCACGTCCACGACCGTAAAACTTTTCGCACAAGTCGCACTTTTATTGGACAACTTTCGAGACGGCAATATTACAGCTATTAGCTTTGGAAATGTAGACAGTGACTTTTCTCAGAACCTCGACAGCTAGTTAGTTAATTGGTTCAAGACCCCGGGACGTCTAAGACCATGGAAATGTTTTGCTTCCTCAAATAGGAAGCTACAGTTTCCCGGGAAATGTATTTTCCCGTTATGTCTTCTCATGGAAAAACTTGGTAAATTCTGCTCGTATACACAATCCCTTCAAGAGGGTTGAATAGGGCTGGGCTAATTTTTTGATTTATGAAGCTGGCTTTGGACTTGTTTTTTTTTTTTATCCGGCTGGGATTCGACAACAAGAAGGCTTACCTCGCTATTTGATGGCCATCCACGGCTTTGTCGTTTTGGTATCTGCAATCTACGAACACCACTGCCGGCACGCTGTTTCCTTTGTGGAAACACTCTAATGCCTCCTCGGAGCTGTTCACACGGTCCACCGCCCAGTCTAAATGCCCAGCTACCGTTTCCATAGTTTGCCAAACCGAGTCCTCTTTTGGCGCCACTAACAATATCTGAAAAACGTGCAAACGGTAAATTTCTATAGAAAATTATTACAAAATTAGAGTTTGGCAAGAAAAAAATTGCACCAAAGTAGACCATGGTAAATAGTTGTACTTGTGTACACATACAAGTGTAGCCAAACTAATAATATATAAATATATATTCATGTAAAGAAACCACCGAATGAATTAACTTATTAATTTATATGTTTATTAAAATTTACAATTTAGTCTGATGACGACACAAGTGAAGTATGTTATTCCCACCCTATTCCTTTGTAACTATGTCTTTTTCCATCTACTTTTCTACATAAATTTCCACTTCTAATATGTTTTAATTTTCCTATTTAACTTGTTGTTCCTCTCTAATTTAATAATAGCCAATGCTTACTTCCATAACTCATTTTCCCCTAATGGTTTTATACTGTTTTATTCACTTTATAATTAGTTTATATTATCTCTTTTTATCGGCCATTTTTTTTTTTATCAATTCAACAATAACCGCACGAGTCAAATTAACTCTCGGGTTGGAATACATTATAATTATTATTATTATATAATAGTAATAAATTATTACCATAACATAATGTAAAAACTTTGGCCGTCCAAAAGTATACATTATGGACACTTTACCAGTTGGCAGCTATAAACTGTGTGTATACACATTATGTCATATTTCATCCCCGTTTGATTAATGGGTTTTAGAGTGTATGGAAGAAGAGTCTAAACAATTTTATCTTTTTATGCAGCAGTTGACGCAACGTTTTAACGCGATCATTGGCAGTTTAAAGTATGTCTTCAAGTACACTGCCTTTATTTAACCTACCACCGGATACATACACTACACAGAGGGACGCAATATAATCTATCAGCTGTTGGTGTAAGCCGAAAGTGTATTTATTTAAACTGTTATATTAACACAATACAGGGTGTATCAAAAAAGTATGGTGGTGTTTCAAACGGCTGTAGGTTGTGAAGTATTGGGCCTACAGCGCTCTGGTAGGACTTGCATTAAAGAAGGGGTTGTCAAGAACATTTAGTGTCAGAGACATCTAGTGGCATTCATTCGAAACTTGACAACTCCGTTTGAAACCCCAGCATTCTTTTTGATACATCCTGTATATTATGATGTACCTTTTTCAAAGTAGAGTTTGGCCGAACATCTTGCATGTGCTTGGAGCAGCCAAACACGAAGCTGTTTTCAGGAGTCTGAAAAATAAACATATTATACTTGTTAATAACAGCTAACAAGGAAGGCGCCAGTGAAATTTAATGCTCATCTAGCTGTTGTAATATGAGAGATTTGATATTAACGTGCCAACGTAAGAAATAACATTAATTTGGATAAATGATGGAACCTATACACGGTGCTCGAGACACGTGTTATTACAGTGCATTGCAGTGTTGTTGGGCTTCAATACATTCGCCTTAGAAACCAACGCGAGGGGCTTGTTTGAATAAAGACTCAACACCTAGTTAATTACCGTCGCCACAAGTGAGTTTGCCTTAAGTATTACCACTTCTAAGTTCTGTCTGAGGAATATAGATTTTGACCGGTATGGCGTCGTTATGGTTGAGGAAATTTACAAGCCAACACATTGCGGTTTAACGACGTTAGTGTATAAAAATTTGACCTAAATGACAAACTGTATTTCATGTCTGTATTTCAGGTACACGACGGAAAAGTGTACCTGAAAATATTATTAAACTAAATTACTAAAAAAAAAAAAAACTAGTACTCGCAGGCAATTTGGATTATTTAGACTTAAAAGTTCATACATATAAGCGGGAATTCAATTAGAGTGGTTTAATAATAAAAAGAGTTTCCTTTTCCTCGCCTTGTCCTTGTATAAATGGGGTGGGCCAACAAAATGCTTTAACTACATTCCACCATGTCGTTATTTATCAAAAAAAAAAAATCCTCCCACTTCTTTTTCTAAGTGTCCTCTCACTAATAACCCTTACCCCTTTTCTTACTATTTTTCTCTCTTACTTCAAACACAGCAAAACCATCCAAATTACACTAACGGGATAAAGTTACGGTTTGCAGTGAGTAAACGACTAGACTATATAATTTTGCTTTACCAAGCAAATAGTTCTTTGACTTAATAATAAACATTTAGACGGGTAATCTGCGTTTAATTTGTCCCAACTAAAATTTTATTTCCAACTTTAAACAACTATTTATTCAGTTGGTATATTTTTGCTGACATAGTCTTATTTTTTTAGCGCTTTATCTCTAACTGTTCCTACTTTTGGTTCAACTTCCCAACTATCTAACAAACATAAAAATTACAATGTATGGCCTTCAAATACTGAAATAAAGCGTATGTACAAAAATTACAAATTACTAATTACAAGGCTAAAAGGGGAATTCATAATTCACCCATACATAATAGCATAAAATCAATAATTAGCCATATGTTTATCCGTAAGTATCAACTTATTATTTAGTTAAAAATTGTGTAATAAAAAAAATATACATAATCATTATAATAGTATTTTGGTATAATATACATATTTTATTCCAATAAGTTAATGACTTTTGCTCGAGGTGCTAAAACAGTAGTAATTAGACTGGCTCAATTAACTATAGTGTAGCTTATAATTATTGAAGTTGATGAAGTACCACAAAGAACAGGGATATTATGTTTATTAATATTTATAAATCTGCTTGCAAAGAGAGCCTTAAGGGTCCACAAACTTCTATTTTTATTGTATTTACATTTTTACAGTTTTTTTTGTCGTTCAGTAGTTTTAGTCATAAAGTCGCGGTGATTAAAAAAATGTCCAATTTTAATATTTGATTAGTTCAACACATTAAAAATATGTTCATCCAAAGTTGTAAAAATGTGAAAACCAATATAGGTATAATAAGTATAAGTAAAAATACAATTCTTGAAGACAAGTTTATAAAATATATTGTGTGAATAGTAATAAAATATAATAAATGCGTTTTTCTTTTACCTAACTCTACAAGCGTTTGTACTGAAACGTTTTGTACAAACCATAGTTGATATAATAAACATTTTATTGTAGTTTATTATAACACTATGTATTAAACAGCGTGTTAGGCTTAACAATAATAATTATACTACTTACCGCCATTTGTATTGTACGGATCCTAAAACACGTACGGTTTATGAAAGAAAAATAAACTTGTTTATAATAAAACTAAAAGGAGTTAAGCAACATATGATGTTTTCATTGTATTAAAATGAAAAATAGATATCTGTTGAATTGTTTAGTATATTATAAATATAGTTTTCACATATAAATGCGTAACCAAGCATAGTTGTTTGTATTAATTAAAATGACATACACAACTATTAAACCTTTATATTATTATAAACCTTTGAGAGCCATACATGTATTTCATATTAGCTGCTGGCAAAAATCGATATTCGGCCACATTTAACATGCCGTTCACATATCATCTCCTGTAGGTTATAATATTATGTTACATTAGCTTAATAATTATAAACAGTATTTGAAAATGTAGCAATTCATTTTTGTAACCTTTTTTTTTTATAAAATTCTAACTCATCTGTTAAAAATACTAGCTGTTCATGTTTACCAGAGCACTTAAACGAAAGTAATATTATCTAATTTTTCTACTTAATTTTTTATCGTTAAGCTGTTGGATTAAGCATGAAAAGTGTGTGCAAAAAAATCTACAATTCGCTGTTGTCCAATCCTTTACTCAATTGAGTTCCATATAATATACTTAAAATCAAAAAAAACACATAAATATATTATGCAAATTAAAAACAAACAAAAATCGTACAGCACATCACTCTCAGTCCAATCAAATGCATCATGTAAACAAATTGAAGGAATACAAACAACAATGTATTTGTACATGTGTTAAGCCTAACAAATCTCGACGAAACCCAATTTTCACTGACTAGTTGTTAAATATAATTAACAAGTTAAATTCTTAACAAATGTTGATGAAACCGACTGAATATGTATGTGATGACAACTAATTAGGGTAAAGTTAATAAAATGTACATTTATTTGGCGGGATCGCATGATTATATAATAAAGAAACAATATGTAAGTAAATGAAGGTGTACAATTTTTTACTATTCTAATGTCTAATGAAAGCACAAGTGTTAGAAAAGTTGTAATATCAATTTAGGACCTATGTAACATATCATAAATTATTGTATTTATGTAGAAAAGAAACAATTATTAGCTTGGTGGCCAACTTATTTTGCTACATCATTATTTTAACAATATTTTTGGAAAACGTTTAGTTAACCCACATAATCTAGAGGTATGTTATAGTTTATAAAAAATGAAAGTAATTTTATCTAATTTTTCTAGTTTTTTTTTTTTTATCGTTAAGCCTTCTGACCTTTTCAAAACGACTGAATTCACACCTGTTAGATTAAGCATGAAAAGTGTGTGCAAAAAAATCTATACTCCTCTGCTGTTGGGTAACATGGTGCGCATATTTTAATTATGCACAACATGGAGCAGTTTGAGTTGAACAAATACTATATCAGTTTTAACGAAATCCCTGTCCGGCCAAGAGTAACGTCGACCTGACATTGATAAATGACAAGTCTGACATATGTTGATAAAACACTTGAGGTGTGTACGGCCAAAAGTGCTTTTATCGACATCTCTCCAAAAGGGGGGATCAATAACCGGCGAGGGGTAAACGTTGAAATCATATTAAATTTAAATATTACAAAAGTGCGGCACAATATACCTGCTGCAGATGGGCAAACATGTTTATTCGGTGGCCTTTTTGATAAATGACACATAACTAAAACACAATTGATAGAAAAAAATAACAAAGGTCGTGAAAAAAAAATACTGTATACAAATACTGCTTTAGTGTGTAAAGCTATTATGTTACAGTGTTAACGGTGTAACGCCTCGGTACATTAAATAAAGATTTATTTAAATTAACATTATGTATATACAAAGCATCTAAATCTAAATTTATATGCAAGTACTTTAATTAAAACTAATCATACACTTGGTTAATTTATTTATGACAAATTGCCAAAGACATTTAGGACATAAAACATAATCAGCCAGTTTCACCAACTATTGTTAAATGCACTCTTAACACATTGTTAGTTAACAATTCATTTAAATTTAACATCTGGTTGAATAAAACAAGTTTCACCATAACATTATTATTGTTAAATTACATTTGTTATGTTAACAAAACGTTAGTTGGGTTACCAAAGCGGTTACCTGGATTCCAACGTTCTCATTGGTTATTAAGATATGTGATAACTGATAAGTGATTGTATTATTTAATTTGTCAGTTTGTTATTATTTGGCATTAAATTTTACGTTTCTTTAACGTTTCGGTTTATATAAATATTTTATAAATAATTGTTTAACACATTGTTTAGATAGTCTATACCTTTCTAAAAAAGTTTGTCATCAAGGACATTAAAATATTTTTTCTATTTTGAGGCCTACAAAAAAGTAGGTAGGTAGTGATAAGAATTATTTCCATTGTTATACTCAGGACAGGCAAGACATAGTAATATTATCTAAATTACAAAATACAATAAATTATGATATTTGAACCTATAATGCAAGTCTGTGCCGTTCCTTTTTACCTAATCTACCTACATAAAATCACTTCTGCTAACCTAATATAGAGTCATGGAAGTTGTCATTTCTATTGTTTTCTAAATACCCAATATAAAGAAGATCCTCATCTATTGTGTAATTCATTTCATTTTAAAGGGACCTGTGAATAATTTTTCAAGAGAAAAACGAATTTTGATAATTGATATTTGATTCATAGCCATAGATTTATATAAAAATTAAAAAAAAAAAACTGTTTTTGTTATTGAAATAAACAAATATTCCATAACCGATATTATAATATGTATTATGTAATGTTAATAATATATCTGAAGTTTATGAAGCACTTTATAGACAAGACAAATATTTATTTTAATTTTATTTTTAACGATTTGTCAAATTACTATATTTTGTCAGTGACCAATATCGATTTGTTAACTTTTATTTTTACACTATATGGACATTATCATTACATTTATATTACAGATATTTATACTAGTAAACTTAGATCCATCATTCGAGGATGAACCACGGGGACTGATGATTGATTTTGCGCATGCTGTTTTGGTAATACCACTGACATGCAAACCTTTGCTATTTTAACAAACCAGCTTGTTGATTTAACGATGAATTATTATTATTCATTATTAAAATAGCAAAATATTTCGGTTTATGCACCGAACTAGATAATATAAAATTATATATTTTTTTTAAATTAATTTTTTTTGTTTTTTGTAAAACCATCAATAACAGAGTTGACGTATTATCGTTGCCGCGTGTTAATGGATTAATAAATTCGTTTCATTTTACAGTACATTATTTGCGGTATTTTAATAGTTATGTATTTGTTTGTTTTTGCTTTTTACCTTTTTTTTTACTAGAAACGTTTATTTTTGTGCTTTTGTTACCACGGTGACTTGGGTTTCTCGTGGTTTCTAGTAAAATTAAAGAAGAATTTTTTTTTTAAACAAATTATGTGCAGCAGGTTATTTTTGTCTTCAGTTTTTGTTCACTAAAAATTAAATATTCTGTTTTTATCTGTAATAGCACATATTAAATAAAACCAGACTGTCAGTGTGACCAAAAAATAATCATTCTGTTCTACAGTGTGGCCAAATACATTTGATCAAGCATCTGTAATGTTATCACCGTCGACCTTCGTTATCAACAACTTGTTATCAGTAATTCTTATCAGTTAACGTTATCATTTTAAATAGCGTGTAAAATTATACTGTAGGCACTACATTTGGTCGTACTGCATTAAGTTTAAGGCGATCAAAACTTTTTAATTGGAATATCTAATGTTTTGCAATAGATATTTAATCTGTGGTAATATCGTGTTCAGGCTTTATAAAACGTATATACTATTTGCACACGGTCACCTTGGCTGAAATTTATTTTGTTATTCCGTAGCTCGCTGCAAACATTCGGCGGAGGCACCGGCGTCAAATAAATTTGTTGGCCTCTCACATAATATATATTTATAAGTAATATTATTAGTTATTCGAATATCGACGGTTTATTTATTATGCGTTCACGGTCGGAAACTATTTCATTAATCGGTCAGCAGCGCTGCTCGGTCGGTATTCTCAACGCGTACTTAATAACCGTAATCGATCAGTTATAATAAAATATACATATATATATATATATATATACCGTAACAGTTACCTTCTCAAAAGCTGCTTATAGATTTTCCCTGGTCGGTGTTTATTACGTTCTGGACTAAGGGTTTAGATTAATGGACGCGATGTAGTATTATATGATGATACGGGGAAAGAGGGGAGGAAAAATATACATATAACTGTAAATTGGCGGAATTCCCATTAAACACGCAGCACAAAGACTTGGGAGGGTAAAACCAACTACTACGCGGTGGCTGTTGGCTCTGCTTTTCCACTATAAGAATCAACATCCGCCGGTGATAAGTGGTCTTTTTTTTGTGAGCGAAAAAACGGGAGCAAAAAAAAACCTATACTTACAAAGTGGATCCACTGTACCTAGCCCAGCCAGTTGGACGAGTAGGTCCGTTACAATACATAAACAATAACCCTTTCGAGGTGGCGAGAGTAAAACTAAAACATAATTTCAACGATGGTAGGAGATTTCCTCTTGATAGAAAATACAGGATGTATCAAAAAGAATGGTGGGGTTTCGGACGGCTGTAGATCCAATACTTCACAACCTAACCTAACCAGACGGGACAGACGGGCAACGTGCCTGACTTTAACATCACCCGGATTCGGAGCAGCAACGGAAATTGCCGCCGTGACTTCCAAGTCACTGGCCAGCTCGTCCAAACCCATCACCGCCACGCGCTCGGTATTGCGGAGTTCCCGCACCGTCCCATCACTCCCCAGGGTGGTCTTGAGAGCCTCAGTGACCGCCCCCACATTCTCCGCTCCTTTCCTGAGCTCCACAAGCAGCTCTCCCTGCCTTGTCCTACGCATGGACGTGATGTCTCCCGCGACACGGAGCCAGAGCGGCCCCCGTCCTTACCTTCCTCAGGGTGTCCAGGTAGGGCCCCCCCTCGCTGATCCTCACCATGATCGCCGGTGAAATCGATTATTTCACCTGCTGATCGCTCTCCTCCTTCTTCTTTCTCCTGTTGCCCTTTCCGCCGGCGATCTGCGTCCAGGTCGCTTTATCCCCGTGCTGGGGTTCAAGCGGCTGTTGAGGCTGCTCCACTGGCTGCTTCAGCTAACCTAACCAAACCTAACCTAACCTAACCTAACCTAACCTAACCTAACCTAACCTAACCTTACCTTTTTTTTTTTTTTAACCTTACCTAACCTAACCTAACCTAACCTACAGCGCTTTGATAGGACTTAAATTAAAGAGAAAGTTGTCAAGTTTTGAATGACTGCCACTAGATGTTACTCCGCGTTCCCGTTTGAGTTCGCCAAGCGTAATTTAGTTTCGACTATGAAACATCTAGTGTCAGAGCCATCTAGTGGCAGTCATTGACAACTCCTACTTTCATTCAAGCCCTACCAGAGCGCTGTAGGTCCAATACTTCACAACCTACAGCCGTTTGAAACCCCACCGTTCTTTTTGATACACCGGCAAAGCCTTGAGATTAAAAAAAATCTCCTTACCGGGTCTTGTCTTGAGGGTAGGCGAAGATGAACAAGGGACGACCGGGTTAGCGTTGCCCTGCAATTGGCACTTACTCGACACCGCCCACGCGTTTATTCTGTCACACAATCATATTGGCAAATCGGGTTCTAATAAATAAAAAAAAATAATAATAAAAAAACGGCGACAGAAATTGAATTGTCGTGTGCGAATAGAAATTGCCACAGCATAAGGCGTGGACGCGATTGCCTTGGTCCTATATTGTTGTTGTGTGGCAAACGCATTGTAGGTCCCTGAACGTTATTAGCGCCGAATCAATAGCAAAAACGAAGAATTGTATTTCTTATTACATAATAAGAAATATCCTATACGGACCTTTGACAATGGCGCGAAATAAAGCAAACAGTTTAGACGGAAAGACAATACTAGTTTTCAACTAGGCGTTTCTTAAAACAATAATAGGTATCAAATATCGAAATCGATAAAAAAGCAACCATTAATTTGAGAGAGTTTTACCTATAGATAAATGTTAGTCAAATGTAAGTTTGAAGTGGAAAGTTCTCTAGTAGTACTCCTGTTATCGCTACCTCATGTTATCACTTCTCTTGCTATTATCACTAACGTTATCACTCCTCCTCCTGTTATCACTAATAAGAGGTAATTGTTTTTAGTGGCTTACTTTATGTTTTTTTTTGGGGTGCTAAACACAAATCTGAAGTTGTCCAACAACATTTTTCACGGCAAATAGGAGAATTCATTAAAAAAAAAAACGCTAATAATGTTGGTTTTTGGCTAATTACTTGCAGAGTAAGCTCGTCAAACCACGAGGTCATCGGCCCGACCTCCTGTAAGCCCACAAAATCAATGTTTTTGTATAACACACATTTTTCAAATTTGTATTAAATATTTTTGACAGGGATTTAATACCATAATATCCGAATTGTTCTTTCAAAACCTTATCATTTAAATATTTCATTGCAAATGTTACAAATATAGTTTAAAAAACACAAGTCCCGTCAATCCTATCAAGTTTAATCGCAGTTTAAATTTAGTAGTCATACATTAATCATATTCACATTGATTTAGTTCAGCATCATCACCCTATCATAAAATTTAATTGCCTTGAATCAATGTAATGACCACACAAATCATATTTTTTAATTCTTGTTGACTTGTGTCCTTGTGAAAACACATGTTATCTTGATAAAATATAATTAAATTTAGTTCAGCAAGTCTGAGACAATTAGCCATAGCATAATGTAAAATAGATCAAATAAATGTAACCCAATGGTAAGTTTGGAGCAAACACAGAGTAAAAAGGTAAACGCCCAAGTTCTGAATCCGTCACACGCCATTGGTTGTGCAATAGGTATAAGATTGTCTACTGTCACCAGTGGAGCTGCCTTTGGCTAATTGATTTATAGCAGTTGAAATCCAGCAGGATTTTTTCATAGCCACGGTCTAAGATGTTATTGCATAAAGGGGCGATCGCGAAAACTAATAAAGCAACCAGAAAACAAATATCCGTTTTCGGTGGGAAATGGCACAGCCAATTTTTAGAGTAAATGCCACCGGATTTGATTAAGCTACTCATCAAAATACCTATGAATTGACTTGTCTGGCGGGGCTGTGTTAGAAATAAATCATTACTAAAATTAAAATAAAGCTGCGAACGACACAAATTGTATTCACTTATGCCGGTATTGCTGTGGAAATCTGTTAAATCAACGGCCGTTGGATTCACTAGAAATTCAGCCTTATATTAATGCCTTTTTGGGTCTGTGCCAAAGCTATTTAACATGTATATTGTACATAATTGTCAATAAACATACGTTTTAAAGAATAAAAAAATAAAAACGCTCTCTTTTAATGCACGTTTGTTAGTTTTATTGAGCACCACCCGACAATAGCAAATCAAAAATACAGTTTTTTATTCATTGCAAAATCTACGCTCGTTAGGATACATATGCCAGCCACGTTTCAAGTGTTAAACTTGCACAATTATTTTCAACTAGCATCATTTTAGCCTGAAGGATTCAAGAAAAAACGGAACAGTATTAGAAAGAAGGAGTATTGTCAATGAAAACATTGTCTTGGGCTAAATCAAATGCAATGCAAACATATTTTTATCGCCGTGTTTTTTTTATACCGAGTAAATATTTTGCACGGCTATAGAATTATCGTGGGGTGTTGAGAGATAAATAGACGGCCAATTCTATTGGACAATATTTACAACTTGCCTCGTTCGGTTTACAAGCCAGCCAAAGTATGTGCACGCGTATAGGGTGAAAATAATAAAAACAAACTGAAAACGTTTATACAAACACTTAAGAAAGGTGTTGTGATTTCAGAAAGACTCGGAGACCGAACAGCAATAATGGACAATCATTAACGATCGTACGGCGGCCGTCTACCAAAGGATAATAAATAATATCACTGTGAACTTAATGTGTATTTCTACTGGTCTTAATGGAATTTATGTGAACCTGAGCAAGTGGCGAATCACTTCTGTTGATCGGCGAATAAGCATCTCCACCCGTGCCTCTGGACACGTCTGTGGGAGAACCTCTCCGGCGGCGGCAACAATTGTCCCACATTTCTGACGAGATATTCAGTAACTGGAAAAAAAAAAAAATAAAAAATAAATACACAAGGTCCATTAGTAGACATATTCATTCAATTTAACAACAAACATATTACAACATGATCGACATAATACTTACACACTATACACCTACACAACAAACAGCTATTGATCATAATAATAATAATAATGGAATCCAAGTAAATTCATTTTTAATGATATTCAGCCTAATACATTAAAGTCGTACATTATTCATCAGATGTATTGTTTTTATATAACCTTAGCTACATTAACGACAACCGGGTGCAATATTATACAGATATGAATATTTTACACATTGAACAAAAAGGCCAGGAGGCACAGTGGGGGAGGTGTCACAGGTATAATGAAATTTGTATTTTTATCAAATAAAAGTTACCATGCCCATCTGTAGACGGTAATAAGAATATAAAAACCATTGTAAAACCCATACAGCCAGTTTCTCCAACTATATTGTTAAATAATTCACTCTTAACACAATGTTAGTTAACAATTCGTTTAAATTTAACATCTGGTTAAATGCAAAAAGTTTCACCGTAACATTATTGTTGTTAAATTCTATTTGTTATGTTAACAAAGCGTTAATTGGGTTACCAAAGCGGTTACCTCGATTCCAACGTTCTCATTGGTTATTAAGATATGTGATAACTGATAAGTGATTGTATTTTTTAATTTGTCAGTTTGCTGTTATTTGGAAGTTAATTTTACTTTCTTTTAACTCTTCGGTTTATATATAAAATTTTTTAACACATTGTTTAAATAGTCTATACCTTTCTAAAAATAAAGGTCAATAAAATAATTTTTTCTATTTTGAAAGCCTAAAAAGAAAGTAGGTAGTAATAAGAACCATTTCTATTGTTATACTCAGGACAGGCAAGACATAATAATATTATCTAGATTAAAAAATACAATAAATTATGATATTTGAACTTATAATGCAAGCCTGTGCCGTTCCTTTTTACCTAATCCACCTACATAAAATAACTTCTGCTTACCTAATAAAGAGTTATGGATAGTTGTCTTTTCTTTTGTTTTCTAAATACTCAATATAAAGAAATTCCTCATCTAATGTGTAATTCATTATTATATATTACTAGTACACTCAGTCAACAAAAATTATAAAACAATTTCTGAACTATAATAATATAAATATTATATATAAGTACTACAATACATTTTAACATGCCGATTAACTTTTTAACAAGCCGATTCCGGGTGATTAATTTAACAATGTGTTAAGGCTAACAAATCTCGATGAAACCCAATGTTCACTGACTAGTTGTTAAATATAATTAACAATAAGTTAAATTCTTAACAAATGTCGGTGAAACTGGCTGATAATGAGCTATTTGTTTACGTTTATCGATAGTGAAGCGCTGTAGTTTGTAGTTGAAGAATATGTACATTTTTTGGGCGTTTTTCTCCATTTTAAAGGGGGAACTGTTCAAATTTTTGGCTGTATAAGATTTCTGATCCATATAGCTTTGCTACTCAAAGGAATCGATTCGGTGGTTTTGAAGATATCGTGGGTAATCCAATAAAAAAAATTCTTATTTTTTTTTGCGAGGAAAAAGTATTTTCAGTTTCGTTTTAATATTATGCGAAACGACTGGAAATGAATCATAAATTACGGGCATTGTGCTGCAGACGAATGAGTACACAAATCGAGATTGAATAGTAAATTAAGAAATAATTTTTAATTCTTAACCTTTTTAGTAAAACCGGAACGTCGAGAGACCGTTTGCGTTTCATCCCGAAATGTTATTACAGTTTTCTTTGGCCACCCGAGGAAATTATATATTTAAATGAAATATAAATTAAATTAACTTTTATTTTATTTTATTCGCGTTGAAAACTTTCCTCGGACAAGTAAAAAGTGTGCTCATAATTTACAGAACAAAATAATATAGTGCGAACTGCGTGGCAACTTTGCAGGCGGGTTAAAACTTAACAAATTAATCAGTTGACATATATAAACCACATACATATATATATATATATATATATATATGTATGTATATATATATATAATGTTAGGTATAGAAAATATTCAAAATCTTCGAAGCGATATAATTTAATTAATAAAAACTAATTGGTCTTGTTGTTAAGATCTGCGTGGCAACGAAAAACGGTAATAACACCATTCAATTTGCATTCAGTTTAATACGTTTTTTTGCTTAAATGGATAAAAAACTATTCGGGTAATATATGTATATGATAATAATACGAAGACTAACATGAACATTGAACCGTTCAAATGGGTGCCAGTTATAGCAAAAGGTATCGACAAAATAACGATCGGCTTATAATAAATAATATATAGTTTTTATAGCTCTGCCTGAAACACGTGGACGAAAGGCATTCATATTTAAAGCCATAGTTTCAGAATAACGATGGTGTACAACATATAACAAGTAGAAATGATTTGGACATTTTCCACCGTTTGCACTTTCAACTTTTTCCCCGAAGTACATTCGTTTACAATGTGTGTACGAGCAAGCTGTCAGCTTAGGCCTCAGTACTATTACTGTTCGAAATAGATTGTTTTTTTTTTTTTTTTACGACATAAATACTCTTATATCGGGAGAATAATATACTATACTGCCCGTTTGTTTCCTCCCTCTTAAGTTGTTTAAATGTTCCCAACATGTTTTTTTAGCAGTATGTTATCGTTTGCATAATTTCGAGTCGTTAATTAGAGTTTATTTTCACCTACTGCTGCTGCTGTTGGTTAGTAGTGCGAGGAAAATAACAACAGCTAAGGTTGGCCATAACTCGTGACGTTATTTATTCATAATTTACAAATATCGTTCACGGCGGCGTATGAAATTAGATATTGACTTAATAATTAGTTATGAAAAGGGTGAAAAAAAACCCTATTATTTCTTACTTTTTAGTCTGTTCCTCCGTTGCTTGTCAGTTTCTGTCTGGAAATATGCACTACAATATTTTCTACCGATTCCATTAGTGGTCTATCCGAGACACAGCAAGCCCATAAACCGATTATCACCGATTATCGTACAATCGCCGTAGTCGAATGTCGAGCATTACATACATTACAAACGTTTTTGTACCAGGATTGCTACTGCGGTGGCAATAAAGCTTTAACGGTTATTTGAGTTAAGGAGGGCACGCACAATGGGGCCGGATAAAAATAAATAACCGTATTATTGGAAAACAATTTTCATAAATTCCGCTCACGGACCGTTAATGGCATTTATAAGCCTACTTACGGCCCTTTGAAGAAGACCGTCGCACAAAGGGCAACAGAACAAAGTCGGGTGACTTCACAAAATTAGCATAATCATAGAATACCCGATAACAGCGTTTGGCCTTTTCCTCTGTCTGCACCATAGCACACGGTGTGTGCTTAACGGTTTAATGGACTTACAGATTTTCCAAAATAATAAATTAAGGTAAAAAGTGATGAATCTCCAAACGACCGCACTACACGGTGGTATAGATCACACAGAACCGGACAAATTGGGGTTACGCCAATCTCGTTATAGTTTCTTTGTCGTGGACACAATACAAAACATTAGTTGGGTATTGATAAACAAATGTAATTAAAAAGAAACACATACTTGGTACGTCAATACGTGATCGTATTACTGCAAAACTGGCAGTATAATGCAATTACAAGTAGACACTTCTGGTGAAAATAAAGTATTCAGTGTAAACTTATGCAAGATGATCTTTAAAAAAAAAATAAACGTGTTCAAAACTCTTACTAAGCGTTTTTGGTAAACAAAAAAAAAATGTATGACAACAAAAAATGTTTACAAAGTTTTAATCAAACTTGAATAAAATTCACATAAACGATACAGTAAAAAAAAAAACTACCTGCAAGTTAGGAAAAGGACATAAAACTGAATTTGCACTTTTTAATTTGTACAAAGTTGAGTGTAAAATAAAACAAATTTGGTTTTTAGAAATTGTTATATTTCTTTTTTTTTTCACAACTGTTTATGTGTGAAAAACGTTGCTCCATTTGTGACTTGATATTTATTTTTAATATAAATTACTTAATATACTGCTGGACCAAATAACCCATCGACAATGAAAGGGTTGTTACACAATAAACATTAATTACCAGCTTGGCTGCGTGCTTGTCCATTGGGCCGACAATTGGCAATTCCAAAGTGTTTGTAGTATTTAATATCAAATTTACAGACAGCAGCAGGTCTGACCTCCACGACCCGAATTATCCTTTTAATCTTTCTTATCTCGGTGTATGGATATTTATTGTATTGATATTACTACACGTTTCATCATTTATGCAATAGTAACAAATAGATAAAACATCATATTTACCCTGGTCACCAGTAAACCACTGTTCCTTTCCGGATTCCTCGCATCCCGTGCATTTGAATTATCTGTAAAAAAACAAATAATACAGAAATATCATTATTAATGTAAAACCCTTCGATAATTATAAAGATTATTGATAAACTATAATATGAAATGTACAAAAACAACAATAAAAACCGCCATGGAGCTTAGGAGCTTTATTATTCAAACATGGCTGTTGTTAGAAAAATGTATATTAAATTAAAGGAGTTTGAACAATTTATTACAGATTATGACGATAAGACAGGAAAAGCTTCGAAAAAATGATATGGATTATTTTATATACAATATATGTGCAAAATAAGATAATATTATAATATAGATGCGACAATCGCCTAGCTAATATAAACTTCAGTGTTTAAATTATATTTCACTACAATTGCATCAGTTAGAGCTTAGGACAAAAAAACAAAAAATGTCGACCAAGTACATTTCTTTATCAGTTCACGATTAGGCAACGACTTACATAATTATTCATGGCCAAAGTTTTACAACCCTTTAATTATTTCAGCTCGTTTGGTAACAATCATTGAGAAAATTTGCATAAAAGAAAAATCGTTAGGTGGATTTATTCAACGCAAATACTATAATCGAATAAGTGACATAATATAGACAAACGATTTATACACAAAAAAGAATTCGATAGCACTGTAAACAAAGTTTCAATATTATTATGTCGCGTACAATATATTATAATATGACCAAGAAAGTTTCAGCGGCCACCATCTAATTGATTTGGTAATTTAATTAATTGGATGGTGTATGACTAAAAGTAATTACTGTAAATGGAGTCGGTCTATATAATAATTAAAGCCTAACAGGAGTGCTGAGCTAATGTTTATCATTAAGTAACGGTTGTGTTGTGCAATGTGTAATGCAGAAAAGTTAATAACATAATATTATGTAGAAATCACAAAACGGGCGAATAAATAATTAAAAAAACGTCATTTGGTTACCGAGCGGTGCTGTTGTACTCAAAAATGAATATCATCAAAACAATCGTTTAATCTAATAATATGATATATTTTTTTCTTTTGTTCTAACGAGTACCGGGGGTTGTCTAGAACGGGCAAGACTCCACGGGAACCTTTGTTAATCACCCTGTATAAATTGTTCGTTTAATTGGACGACATCTGTCTTGATAATTGTACATTCTGCTGCACTGAAAATAATTTAATCCAATCAATTTCAAGTCCGGATGTCGCAAATGTTGCTGCGAATCAGAATTATATAAAAAAAAATGTCTCATAATCAATCGGCCAGGACAAGTGACAACATCTACTGCAGTATAACGTGCAATTGACACGGATAGTGTTATTGATATTCAGCCGGTTTCACCGACATTTGTTAAGAATTTAACTTATTGTTAATTATATTTACCAACTAGTCAGCGAAAATTGGGCTTCATCGAGATTTGTTAGCCTTAACACATTGTTAAATTGATCACCCGAAATCAGCTTGTTAAAAAGTTAATCGGCGTGTGAAAATGTATTGTAGTACTTATATAAAATACTTATACTATTATAGTTCAGAAATTGTTTTATAATATTTGTTGACTGAGTATACTAGTAATATATAATAATGAATTACACAATAGATGAGGAATTCCTTTATATTGAGTATCTAGTAAACAATAGAAAAGACAACTTCGATAACTCTTCATTAGGTAAGCAGAAGTTATTTTATGTAGATTAGGTAAAAAAGAACACCACAGACTTGCATTATAGATTCAAATATCACAATTTATTGTATTTTGTAATTTAGATAATATTATTATGTCTTGCGTGTCCTGAATATATCAATGGAAATAATTCTTATCATAACCTACTTTTTTTTAGGCCTTCAAGATGGAAAATTTTAATGACTTTGATGACCAACTATTTTTAGAAAGGTATAGACCATCTAAACAATGTGTTAACAAATTAAATATAAATTATTTATATAAACCGAAAAGTTAAAAGAAAGTAAAATTAAATGCCAAATAATACTGACACACTACAATAACTGACAAATTAAAAAATACAATCACTTATCAGTTATCACATATCTTATCAACCAATGAGAACGTTGGAATGGAGGTAACCGCATTGGTAACCCAACTAACGTTTTGTTAACTTAACAAATAGAATTTAACAATAATAATGTTATGGTGAAACTTATTTCATTTAACCAGATGTTAAATTTAAACGGATTGTTAACTAACATTGTGTTAAGAGTGTATTTAACAATAGTTGGCGAAACCGGCTGATTATATGTATATTTTAACGGCCGTATCGGTGCACTGAATATAACAATAATATGTAATCGATGGCAATAATGCGATAATGTTACAAACAAATAGAATTACTGCCGAAAACGTGATGATTTCGAGGATTCGTGCAAGTAGGTTTCCACAACATAGTAATATTTTAATCCATTAACATAGTGTATGGCCAATGAAAATCGAACGACATGCCTCATACATTTTGCAGTTTAAGCTATAAAAAAAAATATTAGTAGATCAAAACTCAAAACCACACGTTTTAATTGGATTAATGGTTCATTTTCCATTTGTTTTTTTTTAGTTCAAAACGCTCTTTGTGTTAGATTTATAAAATATATTGAATTATATTAAAAAATGCATTTGATTTTATCCTAATAAATAATTATGTAATACAAAATAATGTACTATACCTATGCCTAAGAGAAACCAGTTATTGCTTAGGAGTAAACCATCATGACCAACCGAGTGTGAAACTAGCATTGCATCGCATAAATACTAATAAATTGACTGTTTGTCTGTTCCAAGTTTGTATAGGGTCAATTTGAGCAATAAAATGCATTAATAACTCTCATAATGTACTCCAGAATGTTTTCTACTGCTAGTCGATTTTTCCCCGTGTATAATCAAACTTTATCTCTATGAATATCTCTCTTCAACAACAGATATTATATTTATACTAGAGTTATGTAGGAACATCCATTTTTATAATTAGAAACCCTGTGATCACACTCAAATGTGATTCTTACACCTTATCAAACAAAACTATACTTTTACATTAAAAAAAAAACACAACTTTCAAGTCAAATCGTTTAAAAATCAGTAAAAATACTTTAAAATAACTAATTCTTAAAAGGATAAAATAAAGTAATTTATTGGAACGAAATGATAATTTATTGATGTATTTTAGTGAAATTGTATAAAAATTAATTGTATATTATACTAGATAGTTTTTTTTTTGTACTAATTTTCTAAAGATGTCTATAAAAATAATTCAACTTGTTAAGTGTACAACATTTGATAGTCCACATTCTAAATTTAACGGGTAGCATGTATCTGGTTACTATTGATTCTATCTATTTATAGTCAACCAATGTATGTATAAATGGACCGTTAAAAAAAAAAACGTTCAAAACAGATTCTTTAAGTACAACTAAGTAGCTATTGTTTTTTTTTCAAACAGCTCTTTTACATTTGAAACATTTTAATATGCGGCTTATTTATTTGCTCCGACGAGTATTATTATTATAACTATTAAAATCACCCTGTATATTAAATTTAATGTGTTAACAGAGCAGCAGCAGCAGCAGCAGCAGCAGCAGCGGTGTTAATGATATACTTAGGGTCACTCCAAATTTAATTTGTAGGCCTAATAAATTGGTAGGTAGAAAAAAAAAACTGTATAAAATATTAATCTTTCAGTCTCGTGCGAACCGCGCAAAAGGTTAATGGCTGAAAGTGAAACCTGCGGTTTGGCTGGGGAAAAAACAACCGACACTACCTCTAGTTGTAGCAGCACTAATGATGATCGCTATCTCCCATATGATATGCGTGTTGGGCGAAAATAAAATGACATTACCGCACACGAGTATGTTGACAAAAAAAATGTAATAATGAAAAAAAAAAAAAAAAAACGTTGGACGCCAGTATTACAACGACTTGTGCTGCCTGGCTGAATAGAACCTAGCTCAGCGACGGTCCATCAATTTATTCGGATGCTCTTATTTGGCCCACCCTCTATACCCGATTTGCGAGAGACCAAATTCGGCTACATACAACACAACCGACAAAATATTTTTTCCATTTACTGTCACTGTATGAAGTAAAAAACACATTAACCCGGTACATAGCGTTCCTGTAAAATTTTAGTCGAGGACAGACGTAGACTCTTACACTCGATTGTTGTTCAGCAAACGGTATAAGATAATATGACTAATTCACAAGTCAGATCCTTTTACGTCGGGTTTCTATTCTGTTGTTAAGTGTAAAAGTGAAGAAACATTTTTTTTTTTTTTTTTTGCAACGCGTTAGACATTATCATCCCGGAGACGGTCGTACCGCTTATTAAAAGTGTAAGACCTGTCCGTCTGTCAATCACTGGTTGTCACACACACACACACACCAAAAGCTCAACCCCATAAATTATTATTATTGTTATATTTCCTCCTAACCGGAGACGTGTTACTCTATAAATCTTTACTATGTATGTCTTTTTTTTTTTTTTTTAATGTAAAACAGACTGCATAACAGCCGTTAGAACAGACGAATAATAACCGGGAATCATATCGTTAAACAATAAGAGAGTGGGTTTTTTTTTTTACCACCGAGACCCAACACTGTTTTTGATAGTGATTAATAGTTGCGAACATACAGAAATATAACACGACCGAGTATACCCAAACTGGCCTACATGGTCGGGTTGATACTTAATACCAAAAAAAAAAAAAAAAAAATACTTTCAAATTTAACACTCGAGGTCGGCGAATATCCATTTTCGATCATAAGTACATAGTTCAAAACCTTGGTAACGACTAAAAATAAATATTTATACTACCGATTCGATTCAAAATAATATATATATTTTTTTTTTTATTAGTTGGACAATTTAAAACCAATAATTGTTTAATTCGTTTATACCTACACACGTTTTTTTAAAAATAAATCCAATAGATAAAGGTTGGTTAACAGAACAATCCGAGTTTTCCTCAGGGACAGTAGCGTCCCTGGCTTATACTATGTGAGGCTTGCAAAACACAATGGGGTCTAATCCATATTCCAAATAAAGTTTATTCTTGAAAAAAAAAAATACACAAAATTACAGAACGAACTTGCAACCCAAATTATGAAAAAATACTTATTATACGAATAATAATAATTATTAAAAACAACAGCGCAGCCAAGTAAATAGCGTGTAATTGATAATTTAATTTATGGTAACGACCGGCGTCTCCTTCGCACAATATTACATATGAGAGGTTGATGTTATAAGCAACGAGGCCATTTATGGAGAAGTCATAGTATGCCTACATTGTCTACTACAATAATGTACATTACAGTTGCACAGTAACATTAACAGCGGCATCACATCATATCAATTTGATCAAAAGTACAGCCATTTGTAATCGTTTAAAAATCATATAATCCACACCAGTTTTAATGGGATGTATCCTTACTCGAACTTGAATAGTTTTGAAAAAAATACAATTGAAATGCTATGTAATGAAACTATAATCAACTATGGAAAAATCATTGATGTAGCCTCCATTATTGCACTTCTTTTTTTAATAAATCTATTTGGCTTTAAGGTGAAACGAAATAATCTTATAAAAATACATTCCATAACAGCTATAATTAACATTATATATTGTTTATATTTAAACTCATGTTACGGATTGGGAGTTCAAAGATCACAGAAGATAAGCTTGTGAGTTATGATAACTGTTATGACTGCGCAGATTATTGAAATTATTATTTATTGTAGGTGCATTAAAGTAAAAACTGTAGGTTAGTTTTAATAGATATTTTAAAACTAAAAAAAAAAACAGTTGTTTTTTTATTATTTCATATGATTTGTTATTTTTTATGGTTATTAATTATTTTGTTTTTAAGCAAATATTTCACTTCTATACACTAATCAAAAAACAAATCTAAATGCATATTATGCACGGTTACAACCGTCCTTCAATAAAAAAAAATCCTCTTATGTAAGGACCAATTCGTGTGTGAGTAATTTTATCAGTTGAACAATTAAGCGGACGACTTTACTATGAATGAAAATGTTATTTATGTTTACACATAAACTAACATGTTTACACATGTTACTTTATGCGTACAACATGTTATTAAATAACATAATTAAATTGAATCTCTTCATGCAAAAAGGGCAAAAAGTAAAGTATAGAGATGTATGAATAAGGTTTTGTTTGTTATAGGTATACACCATTATAATATTAAAAAATTATTCAATTTTTACAGTTTAAAATTAATATTTTATTGTTTTTTTTTTTAATTATGTGTCTATTTTGTTGTTTTTAAAGTAAATAAAATTTGTTTTATGACAAAATTGTCGTTATTATTATTTTAACGCCGTGAACTAAAATGTTTAAAATAAATTAAATACATAAAATTATTGATTTTTGTAGTAAGGGTCTAAGTACAGTATACTTAAATGCTAACAATCTGGACTGCATTTGAAAATAATAATATTGTCTTACATAATGTAATTTTACTGTTTTACCAGCCGGTTTCACCAACATTTGTTAAGAATTTAACTCATTGTTAATTATATTTAACAATTGGTTAGTGAAAACTGGGTTTCATCGAGATTTGTTAACCTTAACACATTGTTAAATTAATCACCCGAAATCGGCTTGTTAAAAAGTTAATCGGCATGTTAAAATGTATTGTAGTACCTATATATAATATTTATATTATTATAGTTCAGAAATTGTTTTATAATTTTTGTTGACTGAGTATAATAGTAATATATAATAATGAATTACACATTAGATGAGGAATTTCTTTATATTGAGTAATTAGAAAACAATAGAAAAGACAACTTCCATAACTCTATATTAGGTAAGTAGAAGTTATTTTATGTAGGTAGATTAGGTAAAAAGGAACGGCACAGACTTGCATTATAGGTTCAAATATCAAAATTTATTGTATTTTGTAATCTAGATAATACTATTATGTCTTGCCTGTCCCGAGTATAACAATTGAAATAATTCTTATCACTACCTACTTTCTTTTTAGGCTTTCAAAATAGAAAAAATGATTTTAATGGCCTTGATGACAAACTATTTTTAGAAAGGTATCGACCATCTAAACAATGTGTTAAAAAATTATATATATAAACCGAAGAGTTAAAAGAAAGTAAAATTAAATGCCAAAATATAATAATAAACTGACAAATTAAATAATACAATCACTTATCAGTTATCACATATTATCTTAATAACCAATGAGAACGTTGGATCGAGGTGGTAACCGCATTGGTAACCCAACTAACGTTTTGTTAACTTAACAAATAGAATTTAACAATAATAACGTTACGGTGAAACTTATTTCATTTGACCAGATGTTTAATTTAAACGGATTGTTAACTAACATTGTGTTTAGAGTGGACTATTTAACAATAGTCGGCGAACCCGGCTGAATAGCTATTGGCATCGATGGAGCCCTCGTATGTTTATGCGTTTAGAAACGTATCAAAAGGTTTTTTTGATTTTTCCAAAAGTTCAAAGTTAAGGACCACGGCTGTTTTTGCACGAAGCTATTCAACGACAACGACTTTGTCCCAAAGCGCGGGTTTCAACCTCGGAAACGTTGCGGAAATAAGAAATGCGATCCGGCCTAAACGACGCGTGTGCGTGTGTCGTACCGACTGTACACGCTAGCCAATAATTATCATGCCGAGTAACAAGATAGCGTGTAATTTTTCTCACTGCCTACCTAAATGTATAAAAAAAAAAAACAGACGTCACACTCTTGCTATGTATTTTCGATCCTCCCCCCTGTCTCTGTGCGTAGATCTTTTCGCCGTTCTTCGATCGTTTAACAAGTCGGTCAATGCGATTTAACCGGTGGTCCAAGGTCTCGTTGCCTTACGTCACACACTACACACACACATGTATTGTGTGTATTAGTTGGCATGGTTACCCCCGGTGTTAACCGTAACGTCTTGTCCACGGGCCAATTCATCACGAGGATCAACGGGTGAAAGGCTTAACCGTGAGCGCGATAATCCGCATGCACAGCGGCCGGCCGGCCGGGCTGACTGATCGCAAACGGCCAAATACACTAATTACACATTATCAAGGGTGATGAACAAGACGAATGACACACTGTAAACTGTAAATATTTGTTCCATAATAATTAATATTTACGTGTGTGTATACCTATGCGGTGTGTGTGTGTGTGCATAGAATGTTATTAGTTTCGGCACTGCAGTGTTACTCACAGGTGGCGCACAAGAAAAGATAGACAGCACTTTGGGTTTTAACTTGGTTGCATTTAAATACGTATCTGTATTGCCATTTGGTCTCTAAACGAGCTACTCCGATGACCCTTTTTCCTGTACAACTACGCCTGTATAAATTCTAGTTTAGTGCGTTATAAGCTAATCAAATTTAATAACTGCTTTTTTTACGAATCGACACTGTAATCGGTATGCTCTATCGTTTAAACTAATTAACGAAAACTACACAGTCATTACTCGAATAGCATTTAAGAAAATCCGTACATGCTCCAAAAAAACGATTATTATAATTTTACTCAGACTACTAATGTACTTGGGCTCATGGTATAGCTGTAACAATAACAGTGCAGTGATTAAGGCATAAAGTTCCTCCAATGAAAATATCTGCCATTAATTTCGTAAATAAATAAATGATCGACAAGCGTAAAATGAACACATTACATTTTTTTTCCCGTTAAATTAGTCAATAGTATGGCATTTAGAAAAATTAAATTCCCAAAAAAAATAAGAAACAATTTCTTTGTATTGTAAAGATTTGGGCCAAATTATAGTAAATGCATAAATTATGTGTACATGTTTATAAAATGTTTTATTATTAACACAACTTAGACATGAAATACATTCAACAATATTATAAGACAGACCTAATCAAACACATTGTATAACACATTATGTAGCTTATAGCCGCATAGCTGTACCGGTAACTTGTTTTATCCAATATTTTATTTGTAAGTCGATTGTTTTAATGTCAATAACAAAGTTGGACATATTTTCTTTGTCGTAACAAGTATCGTAAACATTAAATTAATAATACAAGCCTACTAGCGAATAGACTGTGGAGCTCACTAATGAGCACCATAAAAAAAAGTCTGCTCCATCCAACATAATATTATAAATTGCCTATGAAACGTCTACCTAGGTTAAAGTAGCCGTTTGACCAAGTTAGGTCGTGAGAGCCGTTAAGGGAATAACTCAAATTGAAATTAAAATTCAGTTCGAGTATAATATTAACAGAAACATTCCTCGTTTTCACTTGCTAATAAGTTATACAGTTGCGTTGTATTATATTATTTCCATACTTGGGGCTGTTCGCTATTGCGATTTTCAAAACAAATGTACATAGGTACACTAATTTGTAATATTGTTGATATTTTTCCCCCAACTTATTAAAATTAAATTCAATTTTAGTTGCAAACAGTATTGCATTTTACTTAAATCAGATTTACCGAGTATATCGTCTGTTCGATTGATTCCACACATCTACAGGTATAGTGTTTTGTTGATTTTCTTTCTCAGAATGCTTTTTAGGATCTAGAAGATCAACGATTTCCTTACCCGATCGACGCTGGTCTTGGAGCAGGCGGTCCGACGACACAGTGTTACTCTCTTCGGCCGCGCAACTCTGATGCTTAAATAATTCTTTGCCGTTGGACGAGCAACCCATGTGCACCCCAGTCGCACTCCTATTCAGTCACCATCACCGTGACCGCGGCTGGGGCTCCATGTCGTTTACACCGACTTCGCCACCGATGTCCTGCAACAATCGTCGACTTTCTTATTAAAAAAAAAAAAATACTATTTAAAAAAAAAAACCGAGCACTTTAAGATTTGGAGATCATCACGTCATATTTTTAGTAATCATACGCCGGGTTGCACCAAATGTTGACACACAGATAAACTGGACTTAACTGGAGTTTTTAAATAAATTCTGTTGCATAAACCATGTTTTAAACTGTATCTGTCGTTAAAACAATGTATTTTACCACGAGTTAGATCACAGGCTCATATTTTATAGCTGTGTAAAAATGTATGTATAGTTAATTTTTCAAAAAAAAATTATTGAAGCTTGGGCGGGGTATTATATTTACACTATTTACATGACTTGAGGTTACTCCCCCTTGGATGTCTAAATTTTGTTATCAATGTTTTGCGTTAAAGTGGTGATAATGGAATTAGCATTGATAAGACCCTATATGATAACAATATTAACTCCTACTGCTGATACCATTTATTCGATAACCAGTATACTGGTAATAACCTGAATATAAAACAACCATTGAGCAACGCTAATAAATTAAGCAAAAGATTAACAGCCGGTTTCACCAACTATTGTTAAATACACTCTTAACACAATGATGGGTAACATTTCATTTAAATTTAACATCTGGTCAAATAAAATAAGTTTTACCATAACATTATTATTGTTAAATTATATTTGTTAAGTTAACAAAACGTTAGTTGGGTTACCAAAGCGGTTACCCCGATTCCCACGTTCTCATTGGTTATTAATATATGTGATAACTGATGAGTGATTGTATTTTTTAATTTGTCAGTTTGTTAATATTTGGCGTTTAATTTTACTTTCTTTTAACGTTTCGGTTTATGTAAATAATGTATAAATAATTGTTTAACACATTGTTTAGATGGTCTATACCTTTTTAAAAATTGTTGGTCATTAAAATTTTCTATTTTAAAGGCCTAAAAAAAAGTAGGTAGTGATAAGAATTATTTCCAGTGATATATTCAGGACAGGCAAGACATAATAATATTATTTAAATTACAAAATACAATAAATTATGATATTTGAACCTATAATGCAAGTCTGTGCTGTTCATTTTTACCTAATCTACCTACATAAAATAACTTCTGCTTACCTAATAAAGGGTTATGGATATTGTCTTTTCTTTTGTTTTCTAAATACTCAATATAAAGAAATTCCTTATCAAATGAGTAATTCATTATTATAAATTACTAGTATAGGTACTCAGTCAACAAAAATTACAAAACAATATCTGAACTATAATAATATATATATCATATATAAGTAGGTACTACAATACATTTTAACATGCCGATTAACTTTTTAACAAGTCGATTTCGGGTGATCAATTTAACAATGTGTTAAGTTTAACAAATCTCGATGAAACCCAATTTTCACTAACCAATTATTAAATATAATTAACAATAAGTTAAATTCTTAACAAATGTCGGTGAAACCGGCTGAATGTTTAACAAAAGTTAGTTTATAGTAAATAATTTACTAATGGATTACGACAAGTTCGGTGCAACTGGACAATAATGAAATCACTTTGATGATATGCTGTTTGATTCAAACTAACAAACAATCGCTACGCTGAAAATCCATAAACGATAAGATAATAATATACTTGAAACGTTTGATCTAAGTGCCAAAAAATTCAAAGAAACAGGTCTAGAAACAATTATTCTCAATGCAGCGCACTCTTATCTGAGTTGGTCTGACTTTTAGTTGTAGTTTAAAAGCCAGCTGGTTTTTTTCATTTCCCGCAAATCTGTTTTTTGGCACCTGGATCACTTTGCCCCGAAACTATTGCATGTTTATTTAGATTTCAATTCAATTGGATGTCAGTACAATCAATTTGTATAAACGCAAGTTGTTGCTTTGGTGATATTATAATTTGTCTTGGACTGTTTGAAGGCGCTTAAAAAAATTGTTTAACCATTGTATTTCATATTATGACTATTTGGAAAAAAATAAAGTTGTGCAGTGCACTCAATAGAAGCAGAGGCTGTGTTTTTAGCAGCACAGCAGTCGGACACACAATTTTTAGTACCTTTAAAAGTACATACAAATAGAGTTGATTACCCACATCTATCCTTGCAAAAAATTATATTTGTTCGCCAATTAATATAACAGTATGGGTTATACTTAGAGTATATCAAATAAGACAATAATTGATTTACCCTAATATTGGTAAGCGTCAAGAACAAAATGGTAAAAAAAAAATGGCTCGTTTTTCACCCTTAACTGTAATTTCATACTTAACGCTTTAATTTGTCATTTTGTTATAAAACTATTATTACGCAACCGTCCGGCGCGGTTAGTTTCAACAGAAAATTAATATAACTCATCAATTTTCTTTTGAATACTTGAGTAGCTAATAAAATTAATGTTGTTTGGTTTCGTCGAAAATTTCCCTGAATGTCATGTTTGACAAAAATCTATGTTTTCTTATTGAATTTCTGTTGACGACAGAAAACACAGAGTTAGTTATTTTATGAAATTAACGTTTAACAAGAAAAGTAAAAACTATATTGTACAGAATAATCGAATAAAAGTTGAATAATATATATTTGTATTTTCTCGAGTCGTAGAGAAAAGCTACCGTTTCCGTTAAACTGAATATTTATAGAATAGCCTCGGGCGTGATTCCTTATCGAGAAATGTTAAAGCCTTTGAACTGTAAGCAAGCATCGAAAGTTTTTAACTTGGGTAGGGTTTGGAAACCTTTGTACAAGTATCAAACACAAACCAATTTACCCACCGGGCAGGATCCTTCAGATTCACCACTAAACTACACCTACATGGGCTTATAATTAGTTAAGAGATATGAGAGACTATGAAGTGCCAGATTTTATTCGTTACTTCATAAACAATATTGGGAAACTTATCCTTATATAATATAAGCTGTCTTACTTAAAAACTATGTGCATGTTTAATAAAAAAATTGATAAAAAGTCAAATATTACGTTATTGTTTGTTGTTATTGACACACTTATTCACAACAGTGTAGTATGAACTGCATCCAAGTTCCTAAACGTTGCACCACTATTGTGTATGATAAACGGTTGTTCCCCTCGCTATCGGTTAAGTTAGGTTAGGTTAGGTTAGGTTTGGTTAGGTTAGGTTAGGTTAGATTCGGTTAGGTTTGGTTAGGTTAGGTTAGGTTAGGCTTCAGGAGCTTCTCGAGAAGTATTTAATTTTTCTACCGTGAGCGAATCCTAATTGCATTTAAGCACAGTATTTCTTGGAACATTATTAACGGTCTATATAGATTGAAATATATTACAAGCTTTCACGATTATCACGAGCTTCGACAAAATAGTCAAAACCTATAAAGCAAGCGTGACGTTCGTATGCAAAGTATATATAAGGGGTTTTTCCAAATGATGACGATGTGATTTTTCCCCCTTTAAAATTTACTGCGAAATGTCAACTTATATTCGCTTTATTCCAATTGTTGCACGGATTCGTTTTGTTTTCAACGCGACAAATCGAAAGACGGATGATGGCCAACACCGTGGATTACAAAAACCATTTATCTTGACTTCTTCAACATCGATACAAATTCATCGTGTCAAGTCGTGCGGTTAGGTATAGTTTTTTTTTTTATTATTCTTCTACAGCTCCACCGCAGGCCATCACCTCGCCATTCTTAAGCACACACGAACAAACGAAAAATACCAACACAGTCTTAGTGTCAGTTTTTGTGCACACTTTTTTTTAAATACTACCGACCATGACCTGCTGTTGTTGATACTACTTTTCGTGCAATCAACATTGTGTGTTTTGGCCGTGAGTTGCACACATATAAAATGTAAAACGTGTTTAAGGTGTCACGACCAATAACATATGACACCGGCTTGTACAAGTGTAATATAACACTTTGTGAATGTCTTAATTCTAAGCATATATATTAATGTACATTATATTAGTGTGTTATATAATTCTCCAATAAAATTTTTTTTTTAATGATGAAATACAATATTTACTACTGTAAATAAGGCAAACGCCTATATAAAAAAAAATTAATTTGCATATTATAAAATATCAAATGTATACAAACTACTAATTGAACACGAACGTCGCTCGCTTACTTATTGAACTGGTTTAGATACTATTTTGAAACACTCGACGGCGCGGACAGCTTACAAATACAAGTACAAAAAACCAACTTACTATGTTAAGTAAATTTAGGGCCCACGGTGGACTTTATGTTATAGTTGTATGTGCTAAAATACGGAACAAAATAAACCAAAAAACCACAAATAAAAATGTAATATCTAATAATTGATTCTTCACTTTGAACAGTCTCATATCTTGCACTACAAGAACCTTTCTAATTATACAAATCACGTATTTAAGAAGCTAAAAATAAAATTCTAGCGATAATAAAACTGGGAAATTAAGTAAAGATGTATTACATGTGTAATATGTAATAGAATTTATACGCTGTGCATGAAACATAACAGGTACAATTAAATTAATAGATTTTCGCAAAACAAGCAGGCTTTTAGAACAAACAAAAGCCAATATGATCTACATAGATAACATCGAATCATGAATGGGTACAAAAAAAAAAAACGCTGATTACACCAAAGGCTGTCATCGATATTACAACAGCATACTAATATACTTTGACTTGTATGAAACATATATTAATCACTGTGCTTCTCTAAAAAATACCATTAATATGGGGTACCAGGTATTATATATTATTACATCAATTATTTTCTTTAATATTAAATAACGCGAAGAGAAACTGGAGCTGTAAAACCCACTCCGATTTATGACGACTTCCGTGGGGTATAGAAATGTAACAAAATTGTAGTAAATTTCTTGATGATTAAATGACAAAAAAATATGGAAAATGATTATTTAAAAGTCAATAAAATGTTGAATTAATACGACAACACAAACAATATAAACTTAATAATTTAATTTAAAAATAATTCAAATTATATTTTAGAATAAAATATGTGACATACTTGATA